ATGATGTTTGAGGACCAGGGGAGATTAAGGAACTCGTGTAGCTTCCTATCAAATCTGCTGTGGAGGGAAAGTGCTGGACTTGAACTTGGACGTGTATTCAAAGGTTTGGAACTGAAATAGCTTCTATTAATGAATTAACAGGAGTTTCCTGTTCAGATCTGCCAACTTGTCCCTTATTTTGGTTTAAGTGTCTTTAAATTGTTCCTCTATTTATTTCTCTTCTTTCACTTATCCGTCATCTAATCCCATTTTACCACTTTTTTCAGCAGTCGTCAGTGATGTTTGCTCGTCACCACGTCCACAAGTCTCCTAATGAGAATAAAGCCGCTTAAAGGCGATAAAGACAAAATAAAGTGTCACACAGCCCTGATAGAAGTGTCATGTTAAGCTTTAATTCCCAGCAACAAAAACCACATTTAGATCCCTTTCTGTTTGAATCATTCTCCCTGTTAGCCATATGCTGCCAGACTTTAAAGGACTAAAAGACAAAAAGCCAAAATGAACCGGCTCAATCACTCGACGAAAGTTCAAACCACTTAGTGACCTTCTCAGCGCTGCTTCATCCTTTGATTCGTCACCCAGGTTTCTGTGTTTTACTCTGTGTATCTTCTGCTATTTGCTCTGTATTCTCCGTTTTAGACCTTTTGCTTTTGATTTGCCTCCTCGTGTGTGCCAAGGCCAGGTTCGGTCCTTCTCCGTCTCTTCAGCTTATCAAACACACAGTCGGAGTGGATCCTGTTTTAATGCCTCTCTGACGGAGAGCTTGTGCAGCTCCCTCCGTGTGATGTGTGTTAATGCTCAGCCTCCCTCTCTCTCCCTCTGCAGCGTTTCACTGCAGACACACTCACTTCCATCTCTGCAGTCTCTCTCCGTCTTCTCGCCTCGCGTTTCTCTCCTTTCTGCTTCAGCCCCTTGTTCTTGCTGCCTTTTCTTTCTGCTGCACCTTTGTTGTTGACTTGCTTTTATATTCCCGCTGCCTTCATGTTTCAACACTATTGCAGCAGAGTTTTGAGTCTCTTGCTCTTTCTCTCACAAACGGGGCTGAATAATTTGAAGAAATCATCAAACTGCAGTGTTTTGGACCACGATTGAGATCTGAATTGCAGTTATTTTCTGTTATTTTAACGCCGTGGCTTGAAGTTTATCCTCCATTTTCTGGGTTACCAGGGTGACGAGTCCCATCTGATGCACGTTTGGTCGACTGAAAAGGAATTTAACTTGAAACATGACTGAGAATTTAGCTGTGAAGGAACACGATGAGCTCTTTGCTAATTTTCAGTAGAATAATCGACCATTTTAGGCTCAAGACATCAATGATATGAAGATAACATGAACATTAGTAGCAGTACATCTTTTCTATGCATATGGGCAGGACGGGACCTTCTAGTGGCCTCAGTATGTTGTTTTATAAGCAGTCTAGTCACAATTTAGCCCCTACAAAGAGGAACTGAAGTCCATAATTGGAGGCCAGAGGGTACGGAGTTGACTCAGAGCTTGATGCAACGTGATAACATGAGATAATGTGTAAATCAAATCAATCAGATCAAGTTTGTTGTCATTGTGCTGCACATACACAGTAGTACAGGCAGGATGAAAGGATCCAATAAGTTAAAGCTCTTTAAATAAAGAACCGTTTGCATATCTGGATCAGCATTCTGTTGATCAGTCTGCAGGTTCTTCCTTTAACGCTCCAGAAACGTTTGCCTGATGGCAGCAGTTCAATCAGCTCATGGAGCCGGTGTGAGGAGTCCCTGACCATGTTCAGGGTTCTGCTCCTGGAGGCTCTGGAGGAGTTCTTGGACAGAGGTGAGGGAAACTCTGATGATCCTCTCAGCTCCTCAAGCTAACATGTGCCATGTGTGCACATCTTAAGCCTTTTAGTTCATCACAGTTTATGTAAAAACACTCCCTGTTGTTTCATTTACCAGATTAACACAGCTCAGTTTTGCACATATCCAGTGTGTGGACTCCACCAGAGACTTTAGCAGCACTTGTTCATATGACGGCAAGAGCCAGAGTCGCTTTCTGTTATCGTTTATCAGCATTGATGAGCGCACCAGAAGGTGGAGGACGGACCATTTAATGAGCTGAGGTGCAGCTCACTGGTGGCGACCAAACTGTGTCTACAGTTTCTGGCACCCTGGGAGCTCGACTGGCTGAGCGGGGGACCCATGAACAGGGGTTGTAGTCCCAGACGCAGAGGTCGTGGGTTTGAGTCCAGCCCATGACCATTTATCTTCTCCCCATGTTTCCTGTCTCTCTCCACTTCCAACTATAACAAAGGCTAAAAAAATACAGTTTGCTGTGGTGTTCTCACAGACTTTTCTGTTCTGGTTGTGCCAGCCTTTACTGCTCTGCTGCACGTTAACGTTCATCAGTAACACCTGGGATTGTTGTGCAGGTGTTCCTGATAACAGGTGTTTCTCTTCCATACTCCAATTAGAGGCCGACCAATCAGATCCAGGTGTAACAACCGAGCCTCTGCAGCGGCTGCTCCTAATCTCTGGACTCTAGAAACTTTGGTATCAGTTGACTTCACCTCTTCTTGTGTTGCATCTTTTATTCTCATTATCTTATTACTCAGATTTGTCTTTTCATTATTGTGTTTTATTGCTTTTTTATGCCTGAAGGTTTTAACTGCTCGGCGCTTCGGTTCAACTCCGGTGGTTCTGAATGTGCTTAATAAATAAATTAGTTTTTTACTTTTTTTCTCCCGACACGACTTAAAAATGTCTGATGTGAAAAAGAACCGTAACACTTATTATTATTATTATTATTATCACTGCAGCTTGTTAAAACTCTTAGAAACGACACACTTTGTTCTTTGCTCAGACACTTCATATATATTTGTTTTGTTTCCGTCCCGGCCGCTGCCTCCCGGCCTGTCATTTGAATTTCTTCTCTCCTCCTTCGCCTTCCCTCTCTCACCTGCTCCCTCTCTCTCTCTCCTCCACCAGACAAACACTGTTCACACTCTGAGCATCACTTTTCCTCCCTGTCTGCCTCCGAACTCTGCTCTGGCTGCTGCTGACCCCGTGACCTTTCTTAGTTTTTTTTTGCACGTGTGCACAAACACACATCATGCTTACACACTGCGTGAGCACCGAAAAACTCCCACACAGCTCAACACATCAGCATGCTTGAAGACGTACACACACACACACACACATCTCACTGAGTTATTGGCAGGGCTGGAGTAACAGGCCTCGACTCATTCACGCTCCGCTGGAGGATGTGTTATGCATGGGCCATTTGCGGCGGGGATCATTAAGTGCAATAAGGACAGAGTTAAGCAGATAGACGCATGTAGCACACACACACACAAACACACAACTGGACACATGCACAGTCGTTTTTTTTTTTTCCTCCACAATCTTGCATAATCTCAGAATGTGTCTAAATCTCTCTCCGTCCGTGTCCTCCTCTGTCGCTTCCTCTCTCCTGTGTCGCTGACTCACGTGTCAGCGGCGGCGCTAATGGTGTGGTGGCAGGATGGCGAGGAGGCTTCAAAGACAGGAGGACAGTTGAAATAAAAGGGAGAAGAAAGGGGGGAAAAAAGAACAGCTTAGATGAGAGTAGTTGCACTCCATACGAAGCTTTATGGAGGCCTATTGCAGTAATCTTCTGCAGCGACGCTGTCAATGCGGAGAAAGTATGAAAGAAACCATCACGGCGAGACAATAAGAGCTAATATTTACCAAAATTACAGGATCTTGAAGAGAAGCGACGCAGCCATCTGGAAGACAAATTGGATCTTAGCGGCGCGATGGAGAGCTTCGAGGAGATGTTAGCCATAATTTGCTGCAGCCTCGTGCCGTGTTTGCTCTGGGATGGCGCGTAAACAAGGCAAATGTGGCGTTTGACAAGATTTTGAGGACACACACTCATCCAGCTTCCCCCCTCTCAGCGCTCTGTGCACGGCGAATGTGTCGTTTTGAGTCCCTCAGTCATTCGAACGCTTCCAAGAAGACGCCATGCCGTCTTCTCTGCCCCTGCCAGGAAGTGTTTGTGAGCAAAATAGGAGGCTATCAGGCTGCGCTGCTTGGCAGAATATGCTACACAAACAGATTTGGGTGCAGATTTGTCCACAGTGTGTGTGTGTGTGTGTGTGTGTGTGTGTGGAGGCTGCAGCAGTTATTAATAAAACGAGGACAATCGAAGCTTTCAATTAGAGCTGAAAACACTTTAATTCAGGGATCGGTTGCTCGACTGTCCTGTAGCTTTAACTGAGTTACACAACATGCTTTCTGGGATTGTTGTGTGCAGAATAAATATCTTGCAAACAGCTGTTATTCTTTCAGGGTCTTCTACACTCTAAAAAATGAAGGTTATTTGGAAAAATGTGCTGTTGTTTTACAGATTGTCCCTGTTTTGTTTAGTTATAGACGTCATCTAGTCAAATTAGTCAACGTGTATTAATTTACATGCTGACTGTAAAGAAAAAAACAGTGTATAATGTCCACAACTTTTACTATCAACTTATCTATTAACCCTCCTATTACCTTCAGATTTACTGACAGCTTTCATCCTTGGGTTCAGTTTGATCTCAGCAATTTAAACCTCCAGAAAATGATCATAAATAAAATTGTTACCCAAGTTTATGTGTAAATAGTCCTTTAAATAAAACTAAATAAGTCATAGATAACATTTTTTCAGAGATGTTAAACATTGAATGGGCTCAAATTGACCCCAGAGATAATAGGAGGGTTCATCTTTGACTATGTGACTGTAAAATACTGAATCTAAGACGTCATTATTTTACAGAAATCTGCTGCTACTTTCACCATCTGACAGTTTTTGAACCTTCCACCCTTTAACCTCGTGTTTCCGGTACCTTCCTGCCAGATTTTCACCCTTTGCTGACCTTTTTTTTTTTGCCTTTACGCTGCACACGATCCCTCTCAGGTGTTGAACAAGCAGCAGCGGTGCAGTAACTCACCAGAACAGTGTCTGCAGTCAGAGTACATCACGCTGAAAGTGTCGTTCTTTTCTCTCTCCAGCTGGCATCCACTAACTCTGCTAACAGCAGCCAGACGACTGCAGCTGACAACAAAGGTACGTCTCTGCTTCTCATCCAGATGAGAAGATTTAACGCCGAGATTTGGGCTAAATTTAAACTCCTAATGTGGTTTGTGTTTCCCCCGTATTTGCATGCTAATTGCTTGCAAATGATATACAGGTTGAGTTTGGGAGAGCAGCGTTTGGTTCCTCAGAGCGTCGTCTAGCAGAGGAAAAGGCCTGCTTAAATTGGAAAGGCAATTTGTGACTCTGTCAGACTTGGTGGCTGTTCAGACCCCATCGTTGCAGTTTTAGTCATTAAAAGTTTTTTTTTTTTTAGCGACATAAATGACTTTCCAAGGAGAAGTTTCCATTGAGACTGGGAGAGTTTTAGGGCTTGTTTGTATTTAATTGAGGCGACGGCACAGGCGATGAAGAAAGTTTGTAGGAAAACTGTGTAAATCAACCGAAAGTGAAGATCATTTTAGTGTCGATCGTCAAGTTTAGTGTCGCTCTTTTCATGGAAAGTAACTGAGTACATTTACCGAAGCACCTGTACTTGGAATCCAAACCTGGATGTGAAGAAAGATTCAGTCATCAGGCTGATTTCATTACATTTAGCTCAAAATCAACGCAGAAATTTGAGTTGAAATCAGGCACAATGTTAAGTTGATGCCATTACGAACATCATTACGTCAACACAGCCCATCAAAATAGTGTTTCCAACTTATATAAATCATTCACTTTGACTGTTTATACAGCCGCAGCTAAAATAACAAGTCGACTAGAGTCTGACAGAAACAGCTTTAGTTGACATTTCCCACTTTTTTTTTTGAGAATTTCTACCAAACAGTCAATCAGTTGATCAGGAAAATAATCAGCAGTTAAATTCACAATGAAAATAATCATAAGTTGCATGAATTGGATTATCTGCTTTTACACGAATACCCAAGTTATCTAGTGATAAAACATATAGTAGCTTAATGAAATGAATGAAATGAAAAATACTTTATTCATCCCAGAAGGGAAATTCAATTAACAGTCACAGGAGACGAGTGCTTCTACTTTTAATGCTGCAGATGCATTTTCATCACATTGTGGACATTTTCCTAAAGCACCATAACAGTGCAGAGCTTTTACTTGTAGGATGTGAAACTTTCTCCAACACTGAAACTGTCAAGATCATCAGAACAATCCCACATGTAGTGTGTGAAAGGCAGGTGTGTTTCCTTCCTGCCTCTGTCCGACTCGGCCTCTCTGACCTTCCACAATACAAGAAATCTGACATTCTGTTGTGCGGAGGGATCCGACCGCTGATTTTCCATGAGCTAAGCAACCAGGGCGAGGGAGTGTTTTGGCAGCAATCAGCAGCGTGTCAGCCAGGAAAAGTTGGCTGCTGCTTAACTTTAGTGCAACATTGCTCATCAATAACCGATTCCAGCTCTGGACAGTTTCCCATCTATCAATGCAGCAGCAGCAGCAGCAGACACTCGGATCAGTCAGTGGACAGGTTCTGATCGCTCCTCCTTTTATCCCTGATATATTTCATAACATGCGAAGTCAAAGGCCGTCTTTTCTACCACATGTTTCACTCCCCCGCCCGGCCCCGTCTCTCTTTCTTCATTCCTTCTTGTCACTTCTGCTGCTTGAATGTACCAAAAATGAAATGTGCATAAAGGTTTTCCATTGTGGCCCCGAGGCGAGGTTCAGCTGCTGTAATGGCTCCGGCACCTTGCAGCCAACATACATATATATGGAGAGAATGTACAGCGGAGATGGAGATGGCTCAAGGCTGTTCATAGTGCTCTGATTCGTAGCGACGCACAGAGGTGCAGCAGGAGGATGTGCGAGCGGATATAGATTCACAGAAGCTCTATATTCATGCTGCAGAAAACCCAGCTCATCTTTTATTTGGTATTGGTGTAACAGGAAGATGGATATATTTTGGTTAAATATTAAATAGGTTGCATCATGTGGACAGATTTTATACATTTTTGTACATTACATGCAAAATCATGAGTCAAATAAAGAAAGAGTTGCTTAAGTGCTAATTGTGAATATGAAAAAAAACCCTTAATCTGCTTAATTTAACCTCTCAACAGCCACCAAGTCCCCAGAAACCCATTTAAACTTGCTCAGAGTGGCTCTGCACTGCACATAAAGACATAAATGTTTAATTTTTTTTGTCTATATGGACATCTGGTTGGATCAGTCTCTATAATTCAGTTGCTCAGTTCATTCTATAAAACGAGTCCAGCTCCTACAATATTAGTCCCAGAGGTCTGGAGTCTCATACAGACGTGGCTGACAAGATGTAGAAGGATTTGCAGAATTCTGGCATTAAACAACTGAAGATGTGATCTATTACAGAAACACGACAGGAAAGAAACCTTATGTTTGAAGTGAGGTCGTTTAAAACTTTCACATGACGTCTCCTACATGCATGTTGGTCCGACAGTTTGGTTTTGCCAAAAGTGCAAAAAAAAGTAACATGATCTGATCACATTGCTTCTTGTTTTCCCTGGAAGCTGCATAAGAGAGCAAACAGCAGAACCTTAAAAGAACATAGTTTTACACGAGGTATTCTCGATTTCTAAATCACCCAGCAGCTTTCAATTTAAGAAAAAAACAAAAACTTAGGATACAAGACACTGTTCCAAATCACATGCTTGTTACTCTCAGTCCATCCTGCAGCTAAAGTACATCCTGTTACATGCATGGTGCACACGACTGGCATGTGTTACGACGTCATCGTTAAATTACGCCTTAAAATTTCAGCCTGTCGTGCAAAATGAGCCGTCGTCTGTCTGTGCAGCTCCAGACATCATGGATCAGAGGACGGATTTTTCGCTGTGCCAGAAAAACACGCTGCCTTGAATATCTATGTTAGGGATTTTTTCTTTTTGCATCCTGCAGTTGACATTTTGTGCACTGGTGCTGCGATTGAACAGTTTATCTAAATATCAAAACTGCAATAAGGTGAAGTGCAATGTGCCGCAATATAGCATTAAAAATGAAACGCAAACAAATCACTTTCTCTAATTGAAAAGAAAGCTGCTAGTTTGGGACAGACTGCAGCAAAAATCACATTATTGCTGTAAAAGACTAATTTAAAAATGACCGCTCCCACTAAACTCATGACTTATATGTGTCAAAATAATCACAATATGAGCTTAACTGTGACTTACTATGTCATTTAGTAGTATAGGTTTTGGAAAGCACCCATTACTTATAAATACAGTAACTTGCAGGCTTTTCATTCAGACCACTTACTCATTTGTCAAATGGGAATTTCTAACAAGTTCTTGAGTGCAGGAGCGTTTTCCCTCCCAGGAATACAACCATTTAACGTCAGTGAAAACTACAAGGTCCTTGAGCTCTGCAGAGCCGCCGAGTCTCGGCTGACAGAGAAGTTTTTAGTCGACTGAACATGTTGCGTGGTCTTTATGAGGGGAATGAGCCGTTCCCCGTAACCGAACAAGAACAGTGGCATCTTTGGCCTCACAGAGTGTTCCTCAGTCTTTAATAAACACAAGACTTTAAGAGTTTCTTCTTCTTCACTGCGCTCATCTACGGGATGTGCTGTTTGCTCATCCACACTCTCTGCAGGAGTCGCTGCAGATCAGGCTGACATGCAGTGTGGTTTTTAAAGCACCATCAAACACTGACTTGTTACTGTCAGTTAGATGCAGTCTGCAGCTTATACCACTTTTATCCTTTTTTTTTTTTGTCTCTGCTGCCATTTGTCTTTCTTAAATCGGAGATGGGATGCTTTAAAAGCCGCCTCTCATGCAGCAAACTTTATTTCTGGGTGTTTGCCCGAAATCCTTTAATTTTTCCACTTCCTGAAAAATCCGAGAAGTAAATTAACGGAGCTATCGACAAAGGGGACGGACTGACTGACTGACACATGCAGCCCTCCAGTGTATTAACCTCTCCCCTTCTGACCTCTGCCCCTCCAGAGAAGGCATCGGCAGCGAAGCCCCAGGAGCAGGAGGAGGAGATCGACATCGACCTGGAGGCGCCGGAGACGGAGAAGGCAGCGCTCGCCATCCAGAACCAGTTCAGGCGCTTCCAGAAGAAAAAGAAGTAGACTGACTGATCGCGACAGGAAAAGATATGAGATAAAAAGAAAAGAACAAAAAAGAACAAAAAAAAAAACCAAAACAAAACTTTCCGCTGATGTACAGATATACAGTAAACGATTGATGGTGGTTTGGGAGGTGGGGGGTGGGGGGAGGGTCGGGGTGACAGAGCGGGGATTCAAGCCGTTCAGGATTTATCGTCATATTATGCAAAGTGTCATGAAAACGCCTTTTTGCATGAGAGATGGGCTGGTAGAGGACGAAGAAGCTGAGGGGGGCAAGAAAGAGGGAAAGGATGAGAAATAAGGTGACGATTTGGAAATTATAATCTAGCATGACGAAATACTGTAACCTCCTGCCACCACATTAACCTTTGCAAATGTCCCTACATGTCCGCCGCGTGTCCCTCGATGCTCCCCGACGTGCAGCCCTTTACCCCGCTTGACGCAACACGAGCCCCGCACACGAGAGGACAACGTAAAAAAAAACACAAACAGGCTTCTTCGCTAAGTGACAGAACAAGCACACGTCCTTCAACACTGACGAAACAGGAACGCACAAAAAGATCAGAAGCACACTCTCTAGTTTCTCGGCTCTTTTCTTTCCGCTTCCTTTGCCGTCACCAGGCTTCCTTTCTTTCTGTCTCTCTCTGCGCGAGGATGAAAATAACACAGAGCAACTGTCTCAGGTGTAAAATCACCTCTTGTGCAGGCCAGATATTGGATAGCTGCTGCCAGTCTGATCTCACAGGTGACGGAGGTGGTGGTCATGGAAACTGGCTGCTAACTCGCTCGGTTAGAGGCGATTTGCTGCAGGCGAGATCAATATGTGATGGAAAGCAGGCCCCGCCGCCGCCGCTGCCGCCGCTCGCTCACATGACTCGTCCGAACCTCTCGAACACAGGCCGGCTAATGACTGACACATTAGCGGTGGTCGAGTGTTTATGTGCGCACAACTTCCAGCAGTCTCCCGGTGACACATGATGCTGTTTAATATCAATGAGCACTCCATGACCTGGTGGAAATCCATTCAAATATTCATACCTGCTCATTTAAAAACAAGCCTTCAAGTGGCATTTAATGAAGTTCCGGTTATTAGATCTGTAGAGGCTGCGGCAGTGTCTGAGGTGTCGCCCCCGCTGCCTCTGTCACTGATAGTCCAGGGGACAAGAGGCGCTGATAAATAATTCCCACTGTTTGTTTTAATTCGATTAAAGATGTAAGCTAATGCTTGCTTTCACATCTTGGCTGTAAATTGACGTCCGTCCCTGTGCCAGTTAAATCTTGTTCGCTGGAAGTGACTGTTCATGAAGCCCGTCTAAGTTACTGCTGCTACACCTGTCAGTGTGTTAATCACACACCTGCTTATGCAGCTCTCTGCAGTGGAGGCGGCTCAAAGTTTACGACTCAAAATTTGCAGATTTTTAAAGCTGTTTCGTTTAGCGTTTGGCTAAAGTAGCTTCTTGCCCGATTTTGGCAGGAAAAATGATGACCGTTGCTGGCAGTTTCAATTAGCTCAGATTAGCTCTTGCTATAAAAAAAAAAAAAGAAAATCTGTAAAAGCGTTTTTTAAAAATGCACCTTGCAACTTGATATGAAGCCCCTGTATTAAAAGTAATGTAAAGAAAACGGCACAAATATAGATTTCTGCCATTTCAGATGCATGCTTAGAACACAAAGCAGCAAAAATCTGGATGTGAGGCCCAAACGTAGAAGAAAATTCTCCAAAACATCTGTATTAGTGTGGACGAGGTCTAAGTTGAGCATGAAAGCTCATTCTTGACTTGGAAACAGATAAAAAAAAGAGAAAATCCCAACTCAAGACCACCTCATGAGCTTTTTCCATTGTTTCAACCCGTTAAATCTGAGCTGCAGCATCACAACAAACTCTGGAAAAAGCCGTGAGGGACTCTGCATTGTTCTCACCGTTATCATGCCACAGCTCACACTGTCTACTATCTTTACACAGGAACAAATATTCTGAAGTCCAGCAGGTCAGAAACCAGGTCTGAAGTCACCGATATAGAAAGACATTCGTTCATCTATACGACGGGATCACGTTGCTCCTCCGCCATCAGTCACATTCACAACACTTAAACAGGCTCTGTCTGTGTCTGAGAGCTCTCAGCCATGCTGGGTGTTGGGTTACTTATTGCCCCAGTAGGTAACTCAAACCTCCGCATCCTTAAATAAACACTTGATAATGATTCGGGGGAGATGCCAGCCGTGAACCTGAGCCCTCTCACCTTCAGATCAGACACACTGCAGCTGCCGAGCAGAGACGGAAAGAAAGACGCTGAACAAGAGACAGAAAATCGACAAAAGAGAAACTCCCTTATTGCTATTTGGACTTGAAGCAGTTAATGCATAAGCACACTTTGCTAATGAATGACTCCTACAATATACATGCACTGTATATATTTATATATATATTTATGTATGATGGGACAACACACTCCCAGATCCTCCCCTCTCTCCCTCCATGTATGTAGCACACTGAACTGCTTCTAAAAGGCCACACGTTCTCTCCATTGCTTTAATAACAATCTCACTAATTACTCAAATTATTATTGGAATGTAACCTCTTTTCCATTTCGAGGACAGGAAGCGGTTGCAAAAAAGAAAATGCAACCGGCACAAGCTGCTGCCGCCCGCTCGCTCTCCTCCGTCACTGTTTCCTCCTTCCGCCGTGTGAGAGGAGATGTGTTGATGACATCGCCCGAGTTTCATATCAAACTCCCTTTTCTCCCCTAAACCGGATTCGACACGGTTTCCAAATAATTACCTGACATACACGGTCAGACGGATTTAGGTGGATGTGATTTGGGAGGCCTGCTGAACAGACACATCGAGTGTAAAGCACTGCTTGCATGCAATTCTTTAACAAAAAGTTAAATCTGCTTGTCCGGTGTTGATACACTTGAGCTTGAACTGATAGGATTAACAAGTTATAAATACAGCACAGCCGAGCTTAGCGGACGCCACCCAGATCCAGCCTCCTTTATGCACCTGCGTCGCTTTATCCAGCTGTTGGACATCACGGCAACACTCTTTAGAACAGAGACTGGATGTTAAAATTTGGTGCTGTAAAGGCCCTGAAAGCATTTTGTGTCAACCAGTGGGATGGATGCAGCCAAAGCAGCTCTGGAGCAGAGAGTTTGGCTTTTTGGCCGTCGACATCCTCGTTTTTTAGAATCAGACGTGACGAGCGACGGGTGGATCTGACTGAGGATAATGCATATCTGGCTTTTTTTACTCTAAATGCGATCAGAATTTACAAAATGAACATTGAAGACTTGAAAGCAGCTGTTGAGACTATAAGTTTGTTTACTGAGGGAGCAGATCAAGTAGGAAGTAGAGTTGTTTCCTCACAGACTTTCTGCACAGTCAGACTTATTTTTGCAACCAGAGGAGTCGCCCCCTGCTGGCTCTTAGAAAACAGATGCAGGTTTGCATGTGGCTGTACTTTCAGACGGTGTCCATCTTTTAGGAGGACACAGCTAAACCCAGTGAAGCGTACGTGACATTGGAACAGCCAATAGCAGCCTTTGAAACAAGGTCACGTCACGTGTTTTAGCATTCAGCGACATTCGAATCAGTCCGGTGACGCTTGGAGCCTGATCTGGCGACACCCACGCAGCCCCAGTGGAGCAGATTAGTGGTGTTCTGGGGCATAAAGAGGCTTTTTATTCAGCACTAATTTTCATGATTCTAGAACACAATCGATGAAAAACGAAGCCAGACGGACCAGATGAAGCCCGTTTGATGTGTTGTGTGTACAAAGAGGGAAGACTTTGAATCATCATTGTAGGAACCTGCTCACCGAGTCTCTGTCTGGAGGCTGTAAATAGCTACCTGTCAGAATCTTAAGAACCTTAATGTTGCTTGGCAACAGACACAACTCGAGGAAGTAACGCCAGGCTGGTCATTTCAATGTGAAATGTGACTTGTGATAAGCCCTGTGGATTTGAGGCTGCGAGACCACTCAGGCGACTGCGACGGAAAGGTCACAGGTTTGATCCTCACAGGAATCTGCAGCGTCTCTGTTATATGGGGAGCCGCCGAGGGTAAACCGAACAGCTCTAAATATCAAGATTTCAGAGGGGAGAAAGGAGTTTGATACGAATTCGGCATTAAAACGTCGAGTCGATAAAGCCATCAGAGCTCCCGGTGATGGGTCACGAGCTTGCACGTAATGCAGTTTCTGTTCACGTGTGACTTTTTTCTACAATCGAGCAGGGATGTCACTTTTTCTTGGCGACATCCCAACATACAGTACCGTTATCGATCTACAGACCTACTCTTTGTTTCTCTAGCAGCTAACAGAGTATTATGAAGCCATCCGATGCACTTTGCTTACCGAGCTAACCACATGACAGATGCTGCTGCTGCTGCTGCTGCTGCTGCTACGTTTCAGCATGTTGCTCAAAGTGCGGCAAACGAGAAGTTTAGGTCAGATTTGTCAAGGACTCATCCAACTTATACTTTCCTCCCCCAAATATCCCATCCAGACTTCCAGCTCCCCCCTTTGCACACATTATAGCATGTAAGCACACTGGTCTTTCTGTCTTTCTTTATTTCTTTCTTTGTCAATGCTGTGTTTTCGCTTTGCTTTGTTAGCCTGACCTCATTTCCCTTTCCCCGAAGGCAACCCAATGCGGGGTTCGGCGAGCACAGCTTGCTCGCCGTGAAAGAGGGAAGGATGGGTGGAATAAAAAGCTTGTCTCACTGCTGTGATCATGAATGGAGCAAAAAAAAAATAAAAAGCTGCGTATAGTTTGACCAGGATGGCTTAAGTGAAGTCCACACATCCTCCTTAAAAACCTCTTGACGTCACGGCAGACAAGAGCTTGGCAAACAGCGGCCGAGGCTTTTGTACACACCGTTCACACTCCAGCGTCTGTACAGTGTCTCCCTAAATCCACGCTTGCTAACTTAATATTCTCCTCTGCTTGCACATGTTTATCTACATCCACTTCTTATTACGCTTGACAAGAATATAATGGACTGGATAGAGAGAAGTAATTGGTGCGGTTTGCCAACAGTGGATATTTGGGCACAGCTTTACAGCCTAGAAATGACATCAAAGCCATACTTTAGAGAACAGAAACACATATTTAGATAATCTCTTCTTGTACATCCCTTCTTTATGTTGTCTGTAGTGCAACAGCGACGCAAACCCCAGAAGAAGAACTCCTCACTGAGAAGCATGTTTTAGGTGAATAGCCGGCAGTTTGTCTACGAAGAAAACCCGTAAAGTAGGATTTTAGTTTGTACTTTGAGATGATTGTACGCTCACAACGTGGCATTGAGGCGTTCGCTTACCCGTCACAGCGTGGCCGACCAGTGACCACTGTCCTTTCAGGGAGGCATCTGCCAATCAGGAAGCTCTACAGGGCCCCACCCTCAACCCACTGATATTCTTATTGCCTCGTTACTTATTCTACCATGATGATCGATGCTTTATTTATTACTTTCTATAACCTTTGTTATCGTGAACTTCTCCCACTTGTTTCGTTGTGTTTCTGATGTGACGGCATGTGAAATCCATATTTGTATGTTGTAGACTATGAATTTCCCTTTTTGTGTATTTTGACATTTCAAATCTATGATGTGTTGTTGGGATTTGAGAACCGGTGGCCGAGGTGAGAATGCACAAGAACACTCCCTGTATTGTGTTTTCTGCACAAAAATAAAATTAGCTGCATATTGCTTTGAACTCGACCCGCTTATTGCTCGTCTGGTTTTTGTCAATGAGCCTCAGCGACCCTTCAGGGATCTCAGTCTCTGATCAATGAGCGCACACACGTCTGCGGCTGTTTCGTATCGATGCGCCGAATTATTCTGAATGTGGAGCTCCGAAAAGTAATTTCAGTTGCTTAAAGGAGATCTTTGTGACCCGGATCCTTCGGGGGGCGATAGTATTGCTACGAGTCCCCCCCTGAGGAGCTAGTTTCAATCTGGTCCCCTCTGGGTGCTGTTCCAGTTCAAACAGGCTCGTGGATAACGCTACAGACCGCGCGTCGCTCATTACAGTGCTGGAATTTAGGAATTTAGAGCACTCAATTATACACAGGGTAAATAGGACGCCATGTCTTTGCATATCCCCTTGACACAAATTTTTTAAATTACACATCAAGATAAACACGAGGCATTTGTTTGAATATGAATACATTTAAAAAGAAAACGTCAAAACAACATAAATATGCAGGAACAACACATTACATAAGATGTGGTGCAGTCTTTATAGAACTTTGTGTTTTGGTGCAACGGCACTACAACATCTGGGCCGATGAATTCTCCTACAGGCCTTTTGTACAAACCACTGCTGACTTTATTCAAACACAGAGAACCGAGTCTTTCCTTCCACGCTACGATCTGAACGTCCTCATGAGCCTCTGTGCTGATTTCAAACTGATCAAAAGTCAGCGTCGGGCCGACATTTGTTGTCTGAGCAGGAAAAGCTGTAACATCCAGAATTTACTCAACTCATCACCATGTTATCAATAATAACACCTAAAAAATACAACATTAAAGGCTTCATATGGCAAAAATGGATCTTTATTATGTGTTTGTGTCTTAAAAACTTGGAGCTGTAAAAGTAAAGCTGCTAGAATATGAAGAAGCAGACTACTGGCAGTATTCACGTCCCTTTGTGGTTATTGATTTAAAAAAAAAAAATTATTTATCACACACTGTAAATAAATAAATAAATAAATAAATAAATCTGGCACCAATGACACCAGAAACAACATTTAAAATAAATAAATAAAAAACGTTGGAATACTATCCTTCAAAAACTGTAAATTTGGAAAAAAAACAAAAAAACAAAAAACATAACAGCAAATAATAATAAAATATGTGTTTTATTAATAAATTAAATACAGGATAAAGTGTAATTTTATGATGACACATTGTAAAAGAAGAAACTAGTATTTGTAAAAATACAGAAAAAATATTTTTTAAAAAGAGATATACTGTAATTTAGCAAAGCTGGGGAAATCCATAAAATAATCATTTTGCTTTCGAAATAAACGGCAAATATATATATACACAATAATTTTATTTTCTGCTGATTTTTTTAAAAAGTATAATTTTACAGTCACATGTTGCTAAAATAAGAAATTTGGTCAATTTTTTAAAATTTTATTTTATTTTTTTATAGTTAACGTATAAATGAAAGCTTTTGTGCTTTTACAGTAAAGTTACACCTTTAGAAGGTTGTTTTGTTTGAAAATAATCCCTTTTTGGTTTTGGTGCTGTGTTGTTTTTCTAGTACAACAGTTTCCCTGATGTTTACACCAAAGGGATCAATAAAGTTTTATTCTATTCTATTCTATTCTATTTTTGCCTTAAAATGGCTTCGACTCCGTTACTTCCTCTAGAACGTGCAGATCTATGAAATCCTCGCCTCCATCTCCACCAGTGCAGCTTGATCATAGCTGTTCACTCACGACTCTGCTCAGACACTGTAAAACTACACCAGGATACACAATGACAGGCTGGAATACTGGAGTACTTCAGTCGTACATGTTTGAATCAGGAACTGAAGAAAAGCAGTGAGACAGAAAGTTCAGCCCTGAAACTTCACAGGTTTGGTTAAAGACACTTTTTAGTAAGAAGAGGTGTCATAATGCAGCTATTTGTTCCTACATAACTGACTGCTAGAAACCAGCTGATGACTGATGTCAGAAGGATTCTGGGAAATCAGTGGAAGTGGACGAGGAGGGAGCGTGGATCCACCAGAAGAGCAGCTAAAGCGCTTCATCACACCAAATCTGGCTCTTCTTAATAAGACATGAGCTCCCCTGAAAGCATGATTGATGACATTTTGGGGTGGTCTCTAAAATATTGACAGCGGGCTATTTTTGCCGCACAGATCTATTCTTCTGGATCTTCACCATCATGGATCATATGGAACAAACGCTGAATCGAGTAAAAATGTGAGAAACATCCGTGGTGTAGTTTATATACTGGTGTGGATGGCAGCAGAACTTAAAAAATAATATTAGGAAAAGCAAGTCCTCTATGCTTCAGGTTTACGCCAGGAGAAGGTTGTTGCAAGGTTGAAAAAAAAACGGATTAGATTTTAGTCTGTCAGCTCAATGAAGATCCACAACCAGCAGCTTCTGGCAGCAGCGTGCTGGATGGAGATGAAAGAAGAACTTCAGTACAAATAGGTTTAAATGTCCGACCTCAGGCTGCAAAAGAATTCCCTGTTTTTAAATTATTATTATAACCAGTCTGATAAATCAAGACTAACGATCCGGAAATTTGTCCTGGACATAAAACTTGTCTTAAATAAACATACAGCTGGAGTGAATAAAAGAATTATAGAAAAACTTTCATGCAAGAAGGAGCTCCTTTTCCACCATGTTTCTGCACATTCTCCTTGTCAAGTGCTCATCACAGCAACACTGACCGTTATCTCCTCTGTTCCCATCACTTTCTCTCTCGAGACCCAATTTGCTCTGTCAGAAATAAATTTTTCAATCAATTCTCCTTCTTATCTTTTCTATAAATCAATGAAAGAAACGACAAGCCGAGGTTCATGTCAACCTGCAGTGGTTTCAAATTCACGTTTTCAAAGGTTGAGTGAAGCTAATCTCAGTTCAGCCTGCGTGATCGGCAGCATCATGAGGCTCAGACGGTTCCTGACAAAAGATGTAGGAAACGCTAATGTGGGTTATGTAAAAAAAAAAAACAGAAATGCAGCAGGAGGTCAGAGGTCGTCGTGTTTAAGCAGCTCAGAGGAAGGAGGAAATGGGGAAAGTGGGAGCTTAGGGGCAAGAAAAGCATCTTCATACAGACAGTATTTCCAAATAAATACAAGAAACTGTCTGAAAGCTTTATTTATGTTTGGTTAAGCTGCTCAGATCAGCATAAATGAACAGTTTTTTTGCACTTCTTAGCCTGAGAAGCTCTTTGATCTCACATTTCACCCACGACGCTGAAACTAAAGAAAATCCTGCAGCTAAAAAAGAATCAGTCGTTTCTATTTTTGGTCATTTAAGGCCTCAGATTCCACATTTTCATCGAACGTCGTGATCTTTTGCCTCAAAACGCGAAATCCTGCCGCCCGCCTTTTGTCGTCTTTATTAAGGCACACGTCAAACAGCACGAGATGATGAGATACCAGATTAGATCAGATGGCATCAGATGAGATCAGATCACATCTGAAGGGAGACGAGATAAAGCTGCTGTCAGCGGCGGCGATGTGCTCGGCTGTTTAAACAGAAAATGGTTTTAAGAAAATCCTGCGCTGGGCCTGAACGTGTGCGCTCTCGTGTCTCAATTACATCAGAGGAGGAAAAAAAAAAAAAGACGTGAGTCACGAAGGGGACAAAAGCCATGTGGTGCATGAAAAGGTATTACCTGATACGGATGTGATACAGATATTACAGTGAAAGAACTCACTGGAGACACACACACACACACACACACACACGGCAACATGCAGCAACAGGCGAGATGTGAAGGCTCATAAATTGCATGTGAATGAAGCACTGCAGTGTGGGAGCTGTTCAGCCGCTGCATGCGTCTGGCTGGTGAAGCTGCAGGATACAAAACACACAGCCTGCAGCCACGAAAACGCTTTTCAATGATTCTGTGTCTAAATTTAAAACCCTTTCAGCGCGTCGTTCGGCTTCCCCAGCATTGTTTTCCTTCACATTCATAATGCTGCATGCTGACACACACACACACAGGCTGCTGATATCCGTTTATCTCCATGAAGATTCTATTTTAACATCTGCAGAGGCTGCAGTGAGCAATGAGAATGGAAAAGGTGGAAGAAATGCAAAGCAGAAAGTGTCCTGTTTCCCGGCTCAGAACGTTCCTGTGGTGGGAGAAAATGCACAACAATAAAACCAACAAGTCTGTTTCCCTGTTTGACTGAAATCACAGCGTTTTCCTGCTTTCATTATGCTTGACCCCCAATTCACTGACCAGAAAAAAAATGTAAAATAAAAAAATCAATTGCTACTTTTATTCGTAATTCTCATCATTTTTGCACAAATGCTTTTCCTTCGGGGCTGGTGGGAGTCAAAAAGTCCTCTTCTTCACTTGCTTCTTTGCAGCAGTATGCAAAGTGCTGAGGCATCAAATTGATGACTGATGCCAAAGTCAACACCAGCCCGAGTCTTGCAGATGATTTAATGTTGCCGTTAAACTGCAGGCGAGATGGAAATGTACGCTTTCATGCTCTGGTTGGACTTTCCCAACCCTGCATTCATTATCTCTCTTCTTACACTCTTATGCTGCTTCATTTGGATGATGGATCTGCCGGTGGCTCTGTTGTGTGTTTAGGCACAGCTGTGCTTTGAGCTAAATGCTAACAGAAGCATGCTAACATGCCCGTTAACAGGCACTCTGGAAATGTGAGCATCCTTATGTTAAGTCAACTGAGCTTAATAATGAGCACATTGAAAAAGAAGAAGAAGGAAGATCACAACGTCTCTATTCTGTTTGTTTAGGTTTATAAAATGTGGTGCTTTGCCGTCCAGGATTTGATATCGTCCAATCCAAGAAATCCTTCAAAGGGGTTTCATGGTTTAAGGTTGAAAGAAAGCAAATGCATCGTTGAAAAGATCTGAATAAAAGTGGACCTCTTGGGAAGCCCACAGTTGAGGGAAATGTACAAGTTTTGCGATCATTAGATATTGACTTCATGGAACCGTGACCTTCAGTTTGCAGCCGGGATGAGAGTCAGCACCTCCAAATCTGAAGCCACGGATCTCGGTTGAAACCCAATAGATTGCTTCCTCTGGGTTGGGGGTTGAGCTATCGACCCAAACAAAAGGAGTATCTCAAGATCTTGTCCACCTGTGACAGGAAAATAGAGCCTGACATGGACAGATGAGAGTGTCAGCAGTAATATGGGCGTTCTGTGGGAGTGTCACGGTGAAAAGGGAGCCGAGCTGGAAGGCAAAGCTCTCAGTTTAACATTTAGTCTACAGTCCAACCCCCGCTGATGCTCATGAGCTCTGGGTAGTGACTGAAAGAGTGAGATCATAGATACAAGCGGGTGAAATGGGTTTCCTCTGCAGGGTGGCTGGACTCAGTCTTAGAGACCGGGTGAGGGGCTTGGACATCAAGAGAGTGCTCGGAGTAAAGTCACTGCTGCTTAATGTCAAAGCGGAGGCAGCTGGGGTGGTTTAGGTCTGAATAGGATGCCTCATGAGAGGAAGTGTTCTGAGCACAACTGAGAGGAGATCCAAGGGTTGACCAAGAACTTACAGAAGGGCTACATGTGTCATCTGACCTGGGAATGCTGGGAGTTCCCAAGGCGGATGGATGGCAGGTATAAGACCTGGTGTGGTCCATATTTCAGCATGTTAATGTTCGCTAACTGAGCCTGATGATTGTAGAACCCCTTACCAAGACTAAAATCAGTTAGGCTAGAAATGTGTGCATAACAGTGACAGGATGGGAGCTGTATGGAGCAGTTTTATTTTTACTAAAGGACTGAACGTTTCCCTGTTTGCACTCTTTTTGCCATTTTAAGCTAAACAGCAGCTTGGTGTACTTTCATATTTTGACTGTATATAAAGATTTCTGAATCCTCTCTGATGTCGGCCATCGGTTTCTTGAAGAGCGGTTTTGAATCTCATTGTGGCGGCTCATCGACCGTCACCATCTTGGGGCTGTCAGACTCCCCCTAACTCCCAACTAATCCAAAAGTAACCAAAGAGGTGCAGCATGGGTGTCATCAGTGGTGAAATCAGCGATCGAGAGCAAAACCATTTATCGTTCCAGGATGTAAAGATGTTTATTCCTGCTATAAAGTCGGACATTTCAACAGGGGGGTCTATGGGGACGGACTCTGTGTTGGAACCAGCCTCGAGTGGCCAATCAGGGAACTGCAGCTGTTAGCACTTCTGCATTGGCTTCTTTTTTCACCCTGGAAAGTTGATGCTTGCTTCATATCTTTTGTGACACAGCAGAGGCAAATGAATGCCTCTCCATTCAAGATGAAATGTTCTTCATCCACTGAACAAGCTGCAGAGTTCAGGGTGCAACCGGGTGCAGATGCAACCGATGCCAATTTCATGATCGACTCCTGATTTAGCACAAAGGAGTAAGTCAGCAGCTCAGATATACACGCAGTATGAAGTGATCCACATAATGAAGCACTTGGCGGTTGGATCAGTTACAAATGGCATTGGTGCTGCTGATGTCACATGTCATGAAATCGCAAATCATTGGTTCCACAGCGCTTTAAACAAATCAATCATCCTGCACCAGTACTGTTACGTAACCACTCAGCAGGCTTAGTTTTCAGAAAATGAATAAGTAAATTTGCTCTGCTTTAGTGCTCTTGAGCACGACAGTATCGGCTTCCTCTAAAAAGCCCAAACAACTGGCATGGAGGTGAAGCCTCAGCGTTATTAGCCGTGCTAATGGTGCAACAGTTTACCCTGCTGAGACTTGTCACATGATCAGATCTATGTGGCGTCATTTCAGCTGTGGGTTTTGTCCTCCGGTTGCTGGGGCACAGCGAGGTTATCAGTAACATAGAGAGTGTGACACTATCCGCAATGACTATCAATAATGCTCACTAGCGCTACCATATCCCCCGAAGGAGGTGAGAGCACTGATACCCTCTCTAAGAAACCAGAGAGCAGGAGGGGGGAAGGCGGAAGACGACACAGCAGATGTGAGCTGGAGGAGGGAGGACACGGAGGAAGCAACATGCTGAGATGTGAGGAAACTATATGGAGAGCGAGCTTACTGGGGTTTTTTTTTTTTCTTTGAGAGGGAAGGGGGAAGATGCAGAAGGGAGCGGGGGGGGAAAAAAAAGCGAGACGAGCGGGTTACCTAAAGCAGAATTTTCTTAAGAGCTGTGTTTATTTGCAGGCAAGGGTTCTCGCAGAGTTCTTCAAATTATAACATGAAAGAGGGAGATGGAGGTGAGGGAGTTTCGAGTGAGAGGTGTGGAGAGGAGAGGAGGGGTTCAAGAGGAGGGAAAAACAGCGCAGTGGAGCTTCAAGCAGAGACTCTGTAAGTGCCGGATTGCAGGGAAGGAGGGAGAAAAAAAAAAAAAACAGGAAGCAATGGAGAGACAGCAAAAGAGACGGGTATGGCTGCTATTTATAAACCTGCAGGAACATGTGGACGAGGCTATGGAAAATAAAACAATGTGAGACATAGAGAGAGAGAGAGAGAGATGGATGGATACCAAGAAGAGCTGCTGCGAGTGGACAGAGGGAGAGAAACGGGGGAGGAAGGGGGGAGGAATACATTTACCTTGACTGACACTGCGACAGGGAGAGAAAGCAGAATCCCCCACTCCAAGAAATTGTAGCTCCATAACATCATGCGACATAATCTCTGCAGTGGGTTTGCTGTGGGGCCACACTGAATATTACAGCGTGCATGAACGGATGCTCGTGCACAACACACACACACACATGCACACACACACACACACACGCAGCAACAATCACATGGTTGCAAGTGTGCAGGTGATTTTTTTCCTCTCCAGATCATTTCAAACACCTGCAAGAGCTCACAGGTTTGCTGCAATAATTAATAAAATAATAGTGAAAAGCTGACTCCGTCTGAGACAAGTTTTAAACCCCCCCAAAATGTTTTCAGCTCCAACTGGTGCAGCAACAGAAACCGAGGAAATGAAGATATGTAAGACGATCAATAGTATGTAACAGATAAATAGAGACGTCGCAGTGACATTTGCAGGAAGTGAGGAGGATCGATATCATCTGAGACCCGGACAAGTGGTCATTTTTAGAACAGAACCCCTCTTTAATGTGCTATTGACATCAATGCTGTCAATACGCTGCAGCGCAAAGAAGAAATCAATCGTTTGGACACCCGGCTGGTGCAGTGGTGGCATTTGAGGGTCAGAATTCAGAATGATGGAGCTGAAACAGAAGAATGTTCTGCAAAAGTGTATCAACTGGAACTGAGTCCACTTGTGCTTAAACTACGTGGCAGCGTGTGAATAACGCGACTAGTTTCAGCTTATTCTATGGTTGTAGTCAAACGTTGCTATGGGCGACAGCATCAGCTACTGTATAGGGTAAAAATGCATGATGAATGTAAAGTATCCGTTGGCAGGAGACGGTGCTCCTTCAGCGCCAGCCCTAGACCGCCCACTAGTGGTGGAGGTAGAGATTAGAAGCTGTTCATGCATTTTACACTCATCTGCATTGGACTGAGTGCTCTCACAGTTTAAAGGGAAAATGCAAATTACAGCCTAATGTGTTCATTGACACTGCTGTTGTAAAAGGCTGTTTGTTATATTTTCTCTAAACCTAAAGTAAGTAAATGGTTAGAAAAAAATCTAAACACAACAAAACACATATGTGCATGTCAAATGGGGCAAATGGTCAAAAGCAGTCCACACTAAATGTCCACGGTCATTGCTTTTGCCCTTAAAACTCATCTGTGCATTAATCCCACTCTGCTTTAAAATGGCTTGGATGTAACTCTGCACCTTTACTTCTTATAAAACATGTGGAGAACAACGTGAAACTACACAAGATGACACAACAGCAAGATTTAATATTGGAATAATTCAGCAAATACTGATTTCAAAATTGATATTTAAAGCCTCACCCTGCATTTTGACAGAATTGGTTTCTTAGATTTGATGTATGTATGAATGAAAGTCTGAATTTGTTTTCGAGTCATTTGTACGTAAGGCAGAAATTCTCAGCTGGATATTTGAATCATGATGCGTCTTCCAGTATAAAAAACAAACAAAGCACCATATGGACACGTGAGCAAGGTGAAAAAACTTGATTTTCACCTGTGTGGGGCGTTAACTCAACCAAAAGGTCACTGATTTAACATAAGGTCAAGAATCTTAGTCATCAAGTGTCTCATTTATAAAAACCAGACTTATACTTCACCTGTGCTTATGTTTGATTCATAAAAGATGCTGGTCATCATGAAAACCTCCCTAAAGTAGGTTCAAAGAATCCCATTTAAAACCTGCAACCCCTACATCTCAGATTAACTTTAATTTACAGCACCTGCTTTGTGTTTTCCCCTCATACAATACCAGCAAAAACATGAGGGTTCATTCAGGAAAAGCCCTGGACTAAGAGAGAAAAGCAAATGTTTGGAAGACCAGATCACAGCAGCGGTGGAGGAGAAGGTAGAAGCAGAAAACATGTATTATTCAGTGGGCTAAACAGTGGGTTGACAACAAAACCCAACATGCAGTTTGCAGTGAACGAGGCAGAAAGACAGAGCTGACCCTCAAACTTACATCCTGGTTTTAATTCACAACACTTAGCATCTGGTAACTTAGGCCCCGTTTACACATAGTCAGGTATCTACAAAAACGGAGCTACGGTTTCAAAAATAACATTGTTCACACCAGATCGTTTTTTTTTTTTTTAAATCTTCATTTACACAAACCCACATAAACACGTTGTTAAGAGCTGCTATGAGCTGCCACACCTATAGGGGGCTGCGTAATGAGAAGCATGAAGCCATGATATCCAATCAGAATCCTGGAAAAAACAACGAATGGCACAAACTACTTCCTGTTACTTCAACGATAACGGCGCGTTTGGACCGACAGAAGTGGAGCTCCTCTAAATGTGGTGTTAGAGGACAAAACGAGTAAAATACTTGAACGTAGCCAAACTGTAAACACACATGATGCTGATGATGCTTCTGTCGCACACTGTGACGTCAAACTCCGTCTCCTTCGGTCTGCATGAAAACGTAAAGACGGAGTTTTTCCAAATCTCCGCTGTGGATGGAGTTTTCAGATTTGATCGTTTTTGGTGACTTGTAGCTTCGTTTATGTGTAAACCAAAGACTCAAACACATTGAAATATCACCGTTCTGGCTACGTGTAAACAGGACCTTATTCCTCACACCTTTCAATGACGAGTCCGATACCGTCAGAAGTTCACTGCAAGCTTGAATGCATTTAAATCCCAAACTGCAACAGAAGTCCTGCTTTGTCCCCATACTGTGCTTCGTTTTAGCCAAATAAGTCTCACATGTTGTGTGTCTTTCAGTTCACAATCCTGGAGGGATGGTTCATTTCATCATGTCTCTATAACCCCTGGATTTACAGCCGTTCAAACTGGACTGTTTTACTAATTAGCTCGTCCCCTTCAAGAAGAAAACTCTTCATCTATCACAGTTGGAGCTATACTGAAAATATTCCTGTAATGTTTTATGTAGCTTCACAATCAAGCCAAAGTTTTCATTCGTGTCATCAACCGCAGTTGTGTTTGTAATTTACTGCTACTTACCTCATGCTGGCTCGCTAAGACGTGCTGAACATACACTCTGAAATGCAATTTTTTGTTACTGAGCCCAGACATTTGTTTTCAGAGTGTATTAAATTTCATCTGTAAGCTTGGATGCTGCTCCAAGACAAACAAGATGAAGTTACATAAATCCAGAAGCCTGACTTTCTTAAAACAAAGTGAGAAGCTAAAAAAACAAAAGAGGAAGGGAAGAGGACGTCAATGTGTTACTGGTTCTTTGCTCAAATGATAACGAGACGCTGCACCAATCACAGACCGCAGCTACACCCATGACATCTGGACGGAAAACCAAACACACCTGATAGCTGTCATACCTCAGAGAGCAACCGGCAAACCCACAGGTATGTCTCCATGTCTTCTGCTGTGAGCATAGAGGGCAGGGATGGGTTTTAATTTATATTTGGTAGAGGGGGTTCATCATACTTTCAACGACACGGGGGCTGTTCTGAATGGCTGTTTTCTTGCAGCTATAAAAAGCTTAACTGTCGGCTTTGGAAGTGACTTTATTGTTGCAGGTTATATCTTATCGCACTGTTGATTTAAAAAAGAAAAAAAAAAGAAATCAAATGGATAATTAGAATTTTTGTGGCATCAAAAACAAAAAAAACACAGAATTAGAAGTTTTCACCGAGACAAATGTCGTCAAAGTTGTTTCCTCTTGTCAACATTTGTGCCTGTTCCTTGTGTTTGATGACATCAGACTGGAAGGCAGCTTTTATTTGTTCACATTCCAAAAAACCTGTTTGAGGGGATATTTGATTTGCATTTTCTTTCCATCTCTTCCTCAATCAAAGCGGTGGTTAAAATCAGTGGCACTTGATGCCAAACGCTCTTTGATCATTTTGTACAGTCTGATTTCATTTTGACAGAAGAGTTCAGACATGGCCGACACGCTGGACGTGAACCAGTTTCGCTGCTCCATCTGTCTGGAGCCCTACACCGACCCAGTCTCCATCCCATGCGGACACAACTTCTGCAAGCTGTGCATCGAGAAGTTCTGGGACACCTCGGAGCGCTGCTGCTGCCCCCTGTGCATGGAGGCGTTTTACAGGAGACCCGAGCTTCGGGTCAACTACTCCTTCCGAGATGTTGTCAATCTCTTCAAAAACCCAAGTCCGCTGACGAGCAGAAAAGGCAGCGAGGCGAGAGCTGGCGACGTGGCGTGTGATGTCTGCACGGATGTGAAGCTGAAGGCCACCAAGTCCTGCCTGGTGTGTCTGGTGTCCTACTGCGAGACCCACCTGGAGCCTCACAAGACAGCAGCAGGCCTGAGCAGACACAAGCTCATAGAGCCGGTTAGAAACCTGGAGGACAGAATATGTAAGAAGCATGAGAAGGTCTTGGAGATGTTCTGCAAGAAGGAGGAGAAGTTTATCTGTCAGATCTGCGCCCAGACCGAACACAGCCGGCACCAGGTTTTGACGTCGGAGGCGGCGTCACAGCAAAAAATGGTAAGATAGAGGGTTTTTTGTTTTAATTTAACACAACACTTGAAGCAAGTTTATTTCAAACAGTGGCATAGTTACTATATATGACAATCTAGACCAGGGGTGTCAAACTCATGTTCATCCTGGGCCACATAAGCATGATGTTTGCCCTCAGAGGGGCGGTTGTAATTATAAGACTGTATAAATGTAACATATTGTTAAATAATTGTCTCTGCATTTGATTATTAGTTAATCTACGTACAAATATTGTGCATACCATTACTTATAAGTCAAATATATGTAGCAGGGCTCCAGACTAACTTCCAATGGTAGCACTGACGTACAAACTTTCTTCGTTGGTCACACCAGCTGATGATTTGCTTTTAACTATCAGGCAGACAGACTGAGTCTATGTGACCATTTCCAACCACAATAAACAAAAAAATTTTTTAAGATGAGAACCAAAAGTTAGGTTTAAGGTCGGGTTCACACTTTGTACCAATGTTTCCCCCTCGTGACAGTCTGAATAAAAAACCTGGCACCTGGTTTAAACCTAAGCATGCCGGGCCTAAACTTGGTTTTGGGTTTAGGCCTTGTGATAGCAGCATTAAAACTGCAAAAAATATGCAGCAAGCATGTTTATTTCTTTACTTTTTTCTTTCCTTTGCAATATTCTCAAGAGCAGAAAGAAGAGAATCAGCGAGCTGCTGTGTCTGAATGAGCCTGTTCTGCCTGACTGGCTTTTAAATGTTAGCCACATAGTTCATCAAGCTTCTAACCACATGCTGTGTGAAGACGGGTTAATTTTGCAGCGTCACTCTCTGGTGTGAGCAGGCCTTAAAGCTTCATGGTTTCTTGGTTGTTATCTAATCATGATGTTTGCAGTAAAGACCTGCATGTGCTTAAACTGAGGTCAACAAGGCCACGGCTGACCACACCACCAGCTTCTTCGTCCAGTTTGATGCTTTATTTTTACTACAACCGGCGTTTTCATTTTCCTTCCAGATCCAGGTGAAGAGGAGGGGGAGAGAAGTGGAGCTGATGATACAGGATCGACAGAAGAGGATCGAAGAAATCAATCGCTCCAAGATACAAACCCATGTAGGTTCAAACTCAGAAGGTGAATAGCAGCAGAGAGCCTTCACTTATCAGGCCTGTCAGGAGGCCTCTAAACTCAGGAGAGTGAAACAGAACGCCTCGTATTTATCAGCTGCACACACCTGCCTCCGCTCAAGCACACCTGTTTACAACGTGGCCTCATTAATACCCCAGTCCTGAAACCAGAGAGTCTCATTTCCCCTCAAAAAAGATTAAAATGGCAAAGAAAAGGCAAGAAACAAACTAGTGTGAGACAGCGGATGTGTGGAGTTTGGAGACATTATTTGCTGCGCTGCTGAAATTATGTATCTGAGCATCTGTAGAATAAAAATGGATATTTTCCTTCGTCTTGTGCTGAGAAATTAAAAACACTTTTGTCGTATGGCTTTAAACAAATACAGAGAAACATTGCTTTGCAGCTGGTCACCAAACTGCAGGAAAATTACAGAAATAAAGATGATTTCTAGACTTTAAGGAAACTATCTTGGCTTTAATGAGAAATGTCAGTTGGCAGCTGTCCTCTCCAACCACATGTTATATGATGTGCTTAAGGTTACTATAAAATTCTACATTTGCTTACAGACGACAGCTGTCCTGGTTTGTCATTATCCAGCGTTGATGTACGCAGGACTTTAATTATGAAACCTCCTGTGCTTGATTTTATAGGAGAACGCACGGAGACAGATGGAGACGAGCGTTAAGGTGTTCACGTCCGTGATCGACTCCATCAGAAAAACCCACAAAGAGCTGACGGAGGAGATCGAGGCGAGACACAACGCCGAGCAGAAGAGGTTCGAGGAGCTCATCGCCGAGCTGAGGAAGGAGATCGATGAACTGGAGAAGAAGAACGTCGAGCTCCAGCAGCTCTCGCATATTGAAGACCACATCAGTCTCCTGCAGGTCAGCGCGCCAACCATCTAATCTGGTCTTCCATGGGAATGTAGGACTGTATGTGGATGTATGCCAGTGTCAGCGCACGCATCGCTGGCTCTGACATATATAGGCCGATAACAAGTCTGAAAGTCTCTCGCGATGCATGCAGCCGTGCGAGGCTAGAACGCTCATTACACACCAGGAAACGAGCCCCGTCAGGTCGATCTTATTTACTTAACTCAAGGGGCTTCACTGTCAGAACAACAAGACACCCTCGACTCTTAGACCCTGGATTTGGAGAATGAATAAATAAAATACTTTCACTCGACTCCGCAGCTCCTTATCGCTTTGAGCTACTGATGCACGATATTAAAATTTCTGGCCGATATTAAGATTTCTGATATCGCGATAACCGATGTCGATATTCAAGTTTTGTTCACACTGAAAAATGAGCATCAGTAAGCACTGTGAGAACGTAAGGAAGCCCAGACCAAATTACCGTAATTTCTGGACTATTGAGCACCTGAATATAAGCCACACCCACTAACTTTAAAAAGAAAAAAAAAATCGTTCTTTCATTGTCGCTTTCCTCTCGAGGCAAATTCGTAAAAATGGTAAAAATGCACAAATTAGCCGCATCATTGTTTAAGCCTCAGTGTTCAAAGCGTGTGAAAAAAAGTAGCGACTTATAGTCTGGAATTTACGGTAGACCACACAGTCTTATTTATTATGTAACAAAAGTAAAACATTAACATATTTAATGTTCAAGTCCAGGACCATTTAAGTAAATCTGTGAAATAGCAGAAATATCAAATGTAGAGACGAAGGCGCTGATGTTCGACAATAATCTGGTTTTATCGTCGGCTAAATTTGTTAATCGGACCGATACCGATATATCAGAAAAAACATTAATATCGGCCGATACAGATGTGGTCGCTGATATATCGTGCATCCATACTTTGAACATTTTGGCATCTTTTATTGCATATTTTGTACATACAGCCAACATCTGTACAGCTGCTTTGTGTTTCACTGTCACCACTTTGTACAGTGTTTTCAGACACAGCAGGCTTCTGGTTCATAAACCAGCTTCTTCTATCAGAGTTATATATTTAGACTTAAAATAATCTTTCTGTGGCTTTGATGTTCCTCCCTCAGAATGTACAGACCTACAAGTTCCTGCATCTATCTCAACCCAACCCGCCGTCATTTACAGCTCGAGCATACCAGCTCGCCTAAAACACTGTAAAACTACCCTACAACACAACAATGGTGAGCTGTATTATTGTAGCCAGACATGTTTAAACCAGAAACTGATTTTAAAGAAGAATAATGACGACACAGGAACCTCCATCCTGAAAGCGGACAGGATCGGCTCTTTAGTTTTGTTACGTATGAAACCCGAGAGTTTCTGATCTGCGTTCATGAGGCGGTCATCAGTACGCTGCAGCTTCAACGCAGAAACTCTCCACTGCTTATTTCACTCATGTTGTGTGCATGTAAAAATAAATAAATAAACACCATATGGACACGTTAACAAGATTAAAAACTTGCTTTTCACCAGAGGGGGTGTGAAGAACTCATGCAGGGATGGATATCACTTATGCAGAGGAAGAAGAAGATTACTGGATGGTTAAAAATGGAATGCCGACTTACACATATCGTGAAACGCTCGTCTTGATCTTAACGCATAGTAACAGTAAAAACAGAGTCTGATATTAATCTGCTGATGCTGTCTTTACATGGAAACAAATGTGCACTTTCACACAAATTGGAATTTTTTACTCCTAAAATCCAGATTTTTTTGGCGTTCATTAAAAAATCCATACGGTAACCCTTCATGGCAACATGTCTACGCACTGGTGTGATCATTTCAACTCGTGTCCAACCTCAGCAGCGCTCCTTTCTCCCGTTCTGCAGGCTTTCAGCAAAGCCCACGCACTTCCACCAACCCAGAACTGGCCAAGCATCCCCGTTAACGAAGTGGACTTTCTGGATTATATACGAACATCTTTGATTAGAGCCAGAGAGTTCATGAACGTGGAAATTAAACAGCAGGCAGCCACCGGTAAGTCTGACACTTCAGCAGTAAACATAATGCAGAATTCAGTCCTTCAGATGTAAATGCATGCAGAGTATCAGGCTTTAGTCAGTTTGTGCTGATTTCCTAAAAAAGAAGGTTTTAAAAATGACAGAAGAGTTAATGAGTAAATGAAAAATAGCTTTTCTGACTCCTCGTGTTTGACAGTTTGATGGCTGGAAGCTGATGTGATGAAAACGCACATGAAACGACTGATAAACTGCGCTGTCACGGAGGCCATTTGATGTATAGAGCTGGTTTTTCTTCATTTATGCGCTCCGTCATTCATTATTGAAAACATGAACGGCATCATTCATCACCCTGCTCATTGTGTTCTGTCCTCCCCCCGCAGAGCTCAGGACCGTGCAGAAATTTGCAGGTTTGTCGTTTTTATCGAGCTTCAAAGTTGGATGTGATTATTAATCAGATCTGACCCTAAATGCAGCCGTCGTGCATCCATGTTTGATTCTGTCCTTTCCAACAGAGGACATCAGCATCGACGCCGACACCGCCGGGCCCTGGCTGCTCGTCTCTGAAGATGGGAGAGAAGTGAGGCAGTCGCCGAAGAAGCAAAGAGTTCCAGCCAGCATGGCGAGATTCACAGAGAACACGTTTGCCGTTGCAACTCGGGCGTTTTCCACCGGCAGGCACTACTGGGAGGTCTGGGTGACGGGGAAGTTCAACTGGCTGCTGGGACTCGCCTCCGACTCCCTGAGGAGGAGCGAACACGTCGCTCCCTGCCCAGAGAACGGCCTGTGGACGGTCGGCCTCCGGGACGGGGCGAAGTACTTTGCTTCCACAAAGAACCCGTCCCGTCTGACGCTGCCGTTCCCTCTTCAGAGGGTGGGAGTGTTTGTGGACTACGAGGAGAGGCAGGTGTCCTTCTTTAACGCGCTGACCATGACTCACATCTTCACCTTCACAAAGTGCAAGTTCACAGCAAAGGTTTACCCCGTATTTGATCCTTGTTTGGCCCCAGAGAAGAAGGAGATGGCTCCTCTGAAAATCACCATGGTAGAGATCACAAAATGAAAAGTTGATGACGATCATGTTTAGCGCTCTAGATGTCCTGTATGAGCTCATCAGAAACAGACTGTATGTCCAACAGTGATTCTATGACACATCACAGATCACCTTCACTCATTTGCACTATAAGAGAAGAGGTTTATTGTGTATTTATTGATGCTGATCACGTTTCTATACACGATACAACATATCGTCAGCATCGTGGTCATTTATCATAACTGATCAGATGTCTGAACATATAATGCACTGACAAACTTTACAATTAAAAAGATGATTTTATTTTAACAGGTAAACATCCCTGTGGACCTACATCCAGCAGCCAGTTAGCTTAGCTTAGCATAGCTTAGCATAAAGACTGTAACTACCACGTTGCATCGTGTTTGTTTAAAACCAAAGTGTAAATATGAGGAGTCACTGAGTCGGGTTTTGTACTTGATAAGCAACCAGATGTAAACACCAGGAAGTCACCGCTTCCACCTGACACATAAAACCCAATAAAACGATGAGTTATTGTGTGTTTGTACATAGCAGATAATTTGTCACGGAAAAGATATTGATTTCCATGTTAACCATAACAGAACAAGCCAAACCTGTAAATAAAGTCAGCATCAATAACCTGGATTCTAATAAATGTTATTCATTATTTTCACAATGTTTGACCATAAAATGACACCGTTATTGTATTTTAATCTGAAAAAAAATATGTTACAGGTATTTGTCCTTATTTAAAAGAAAAAATATGTTCATTAAGGAATATTTAAAGGTAAATATATATATCTTAAACTATTACAGATGATTTTTTTGTGAAACTTGAGAGAATATCTATTAAAATTGCTGAATAAAGTATGAATTTATATGAATTGTGTATAATCCTCTTTTACAATGTGTGACCATAAAATTCAATTTTTACTGTTAAAATCTGCCAAAAAACAATATTATTTTACTGATGTTTGCTATTATCGTTGTTAATTTTACAGGTTTTTAATCATAGTATAGTATATTATTTTAAACATTAAAGTGTTTTTCTTTTACAGTGTTGTGTATGATATAGAGAATGTAATGTTTTAGTTACTGTTGTCGGTTTCATCTGTTTTACTTTTAACAGTTTGTCAAAGGTTTCAAATATATAGAATGTTAATATTTCTTGTATTCTGGGTTTTTTTGTTGTTTTTTTTCTTTCATCTCTTGCTCCAATAAATGCAGACATCTGTTTTGTCTCTTTATTTTCATCATTGTATGCTGAACCTTCATAGTAACCGTGATGTAAAAGGTAATAAAGATTCTGAAAGAAACATTTTTTGAAGGTTGACATCAGTGTTACTCATCACAACAACAACAGAAAGAGTTTTCTTAAGACACAACGGCTCAAAGAAAGGTGGAAACAGCAACACAACTCCACCTATCGCTGGTGGTTTTAGGGCTTTGTGTGTCTAAGCACAGCCACAGAAATGGGAGTGTGATAACAAAAGGAGGGCCTGTGTGGAGGTTTGGGTGTGTCGACTCACGGTGGGAGGGTCACCGAGAGTTTCAGGAAGCACCTGAGAGTCATAGCAAAGTACACCGAGAGAAGGACTGCATTGCTTGACGCCAGAGGAAAACATGCAGAGTAAGTTGTACCTTCTCTTACATGTACTTTGTGGTGGTGTTCATTCATGTCGGATGTGTTGTGTTCTGGGACTCTTGTGATGAGTGGAGGTTTCTGTTGAGCTCGTCCCACATGTACAGTAGGAGAGCTGCAGCAAGAAAACAAAATAAAAAGCATCTCCGAGTGTCGTGTTATAATAAAACAGCACAGCTGAGTGAATAGAAAGGATCTGAAGCTGCTCGTGTTGATTATCTGACTGTTTCTGTCATGTGTGGCTGCTTTGTTCAAATCTCGTCTGATATGAGATCTGAGCAAAACTACTGAAAGTTAAAAAAATCACCAGCAGCTGAGTTTTGTTTTGCTGTAGACGGCACAGAGCCGACTGAAGCTGCGTCTCTGACTAATCCTGAGGCAGGTGCAGTGGGGTTGAAGGTCCTGAATGTCTGCATTCCTTAGATTGTTTCTCACCCACCGTGGAGCAGAGTGACGCTGTTAAAGAGACTTCCTGACTTCAGATGGTTGTTTCCTCGTGGCTGGACTTTTCTTACATAAGTTGAACTGATTTTAATCTGCTTAAAAAATGTGTGAAAACCAAAGAGTCAGAAAACTTTAGGATAGAAATGGTGTCCAGCTTCTCTTTTCTCTCCCTCTTAATTCTCTTTTTGGAAATCGTACTGATTTGTTTTCAGTTTCTAGGTGTTTAGATCATTGATAATGTTTAGAAAACTCTTTTTTTTTAACCTGGAGGTTGCGCTGGTAGAATCAGGGAGCCCATTCTGGCTAAAGCAGAGCCGCTCTGTTCACATGTCAGAGAAAGATGCTGGACCTGCCCTCTGCATGGCTGCCATTGGTCTGTGATTATACGTTTAAATGGGTGAAAAAATGACTTAATACCGTCTGCTTTTATTTATTTCAGCACCTCAGAGACAATATTGAGTCCATCCCATCATCTGAACTCAAGCCCACACACAGCTGCACGTTAACTAACTTTACAAGTCGTCTTACAAGTTTTCAGGTCATAATACAAAATGACCTCATTACACAAATCACTGTCTCGTCTCCTCTGTGGCTCTTAATGGCCTAATTCGAGCGCTCAAGAGATTTTGTTTTTTTTAAATCCAATATTAGCTCTAATAGGTATAAGGGTAGACGACGCGTCAGCACAGACGTCAGTGACGTTTCTGACTGAAGCGACAGTTGAAACATGTCAAAGGTAAAAACAGCTCCTACCTAAAAAGAATACTTACTGTCTGATTAAAGAGAAACCTTATACCTATAATCAGTAGACAAAATTAATCTAGTCACGCGATTAGCTCTAATAGCCAGACTGAGGAGAGTTTTTACGCAACAAAAGCGTCTCATCCAGTAAGATGTGAAGTTTCCCTCTAAACTTAACCTGCCGTCAAATCTCTTTCTAGTCAGTTTCATAACACATCGGCTCACGTCACTCTCCTCACTCTAAAAAAACATTATTAAAACAAAGACCCACAACTATGAAGAGATGTTGAACTATGTCTGCCTCGTTCTGTTAAACTGTGTTTGTGTAAAAACCAGTCTGGCAGGAAATTTTAATAAAAGATCAAAGAACAATAACCACAACAACTGCATCACAGTTATGTGTTTCTTTTTCCTCACTGGACTTGTTTATTTAATCTTTGCAAGAGCTCAGTTTTCTCTGGTTGTGTTTTATTTAAACTCAAATTTCTGCTTCAGCTGATTTGAAACTAAATGAAATTCTGGTAATGAAACTGACTTGATGACATTTTTGTCAGGATTTCAAGTTCCCACCCTGACTTCCTTAAAATGGAAACTTTCATTCTAATTAAATACACAACACATTTTTAAAAAGTCCTTTCAAACTACATGGAAATGCAGTTGGATCAGCTTCATTCTTTATGAGCAATCTACTAAAAAGCTTGTGTTTGTGCTACGAACTCAGTTTAGTTTGCTGAACATGATTTGATCAGAAGTTTCCAAGACTGATGCAAATGTTGTGTTTTTTTTTTTGTTGGATCAAAACATTTTTTTTTAGAGTGTAGTTTGGATAAAGGGCTGAAACTGGGAGAAAAAACAAAAAGCATTTTTAATTGTAACCAGCTAAACGTAAGCTCGGACTTCCTTCAGTCAGCAGACCTTCTTGGTTTGGACACACTGAGCCGAACCAGTCGTCCAGTCTGCAGACATTTAGACACATGCCTCGTTCTCTCTGACTTTCTTCCCTCCGTCTTGCAGGCATGAGCTCCCCAGGAGGCCGAGTCCTCTCCGAGGAGCAGTTCTGCTGCTCCATCTGCCTGGAGGTGTTCGTGGAGCCCGTCTCCACTCCCTGCGGCCACAGCTTCTGCAAGGCCTGCCTGCAGGGCTACTGGAACCACAGCAAGAAGTTCCTGTGCCCCATGTGCAAGAAGAGCTACAGCAGAAAGCCCGAGATGAGCGTCAACCGGGTCCTGGCTGAGATTTCCTCCCAGTTCCAGGGGCTGATGCAGTCTGGAGGAGCCTCCAGGGGATCCACGCTGAACGTGAGCTCGGATGCGGGACACAGCAGCTCTTCAGGGCCGGATACGGGAGAGTTCGCTCGGCCCGGAGACGTTCCCTGTGACGCCTGCATTGGGAGGAAGTTAAAGGCGCTGAAATCGTGTGTGAACTGCCCCGGGTCATTCTGTGAAGCCCACCTCCGGCATCACAAGAAGGTCTGCTGGAGTCTTGTAGATCGTTATGGGGCTATTGCATAAAACTAAATCTGCCCCTTTTCTTGGAAAACCCTCTTTTCTCATTTGTTAAATGCTTTTTCTGCTTGATTGGAATTTATTTGAAAATATTCCCATGAATGTCTATTTTTGCATATTTAAATCAAGACACCCTGCATCTGTTCGCCACTAAATATGAAATTACAATTAGAATATGTGTAATATTCACTGAAGCAGATTTCCAGCACGTCTGGACCCTGTAGCGGGTTTTATAACGTCTGCATTTGACCGCTCACGTTCTCGGCCGTCTCCAGGTCAAGACCCTGACGTCTCATCGTCTGATCGAACCCACGTTCCACCTGGAGGAGAAGATCTGTAAGAAACACGAACGCCTTCTGGAAGTCTACTGCCGCACCGACCACGTCTGCATCTGCACCGCCTGCGCCGAGGCCGGACACAAATCCCACGACATCGTCTCCGTCGACCACGAGTTTAAGAAGAAGATGGTGAGCTGCAGAAGCGTCGCTTTTCCCCGAGTTACTGATTTAATTACTTAGTGACCTCGTTGACCTTTGTACAGGCCGTCCTGCAGCTGCCTCGCTATAAAGCTGTGTGCACATTGATCTCACCAGTTTTGATCTTTTGCTCACAGAATAATGTGGGAAAGAAGAGGTCAGAGCTGAAACATCTGATCAAGGAGAGAGCCAAGAAGCTGGAGGAGATCAAACAATCCATCAAGGTCATCAAGGTGAGTCCACTGAAGGACAATGTGGTTATGAGGAATCAGCAACGATGTGGGTTTTTGTGCCACTTAGGTCCGTTTTCAAAGAGTTTGAATTGATCTCTAGAGGAAGATAAGCTGCTTTCTGATGACTTCAGTGTAAAAATCTAAAACCTTTATCAAATTTTACCGCATTGGAAGTATTTTTGGTCGGCTACCTTTAGCCTACCAGTGTTAAATCCATCAGTTTTATCTTGTGTATGTATGATCAGAGGTGGACGTTACAGACAATCCTTCAATCTGCTTTTGAACGTAACATACTGACATTGAGTCAAATTACAAAAATCAAATAAAATGTCTTGTTTAGGGAAGATTTATCACATAAAAAACTGCAAAACTTCAGTAAATAAATAAACAAAGTGACCAGTTTTCTGGAGTGGATCGGTACTTTGTGGCCAGTTTCCATGTGGCTGATCTGAAACTGATCCTAAACCAGTCTTGTGCTGTAATTACCTCCATTGTGCATGTTAAATATTTGCTCTAATGTGGCGCCTCTCATGCGCTGGAGCTCAAAAGCTCTATTTGCACTTCAAGCAGCTCTCTGATCCAGGCAGGTTCATACAACCAGAGCAGGCTGTTGCTCGACAGAAAGACGAGCCCTCTTCTGTTCTCAGCCTTCCTACTTTTACTTTGCATTGTGAGAGAAAATGAAAAACATTCGGGCGGCTTGTGTCCCACATCTGTGTCATGCCTGTCGTGCTCTGCGGTGGCGGCGGAGGAGGCGGACGCACTTTGTTTTTGTCTTGCGTACACGGAATCAGATCCTCGTCTGAGGCCGTCCAACCGGTGAGACCGGCGCAAACATTCACCTTCAGTTTCTCACAGACTGTTTTCTTTTAAACCAACAGTCACCTCAGGAATAAGAAACAAGAAGGATCACATGCTTGGATGGTTTTCCATAACAAGGCAAACCTTAGAGATAAGAGAACACTGAGAAGCTCTAATTGGATTTTAAATTAGTTGAAAAACATGTCAACATGTAATTTTTAATCTCCAACATGTTTTACTGCTTTTAAAAAGCTTGAGGGCTACTTTTGGTTTCCTGTTCAGTCATATTTACTTTTACGAGGATTCGGTTACAGCAGCGTTGGATATCAGATTTTCAGCATCAGTGTGTGTGTGTGTGTGTGTGTGTGTGTGTACTGTACAAACACACAACATGTGCCTCCTGCTGCTGCATCTGCTGCTTACAGATGTGGAGATAAAGAGTGATGCATCAGTGAATTCTGTTCAGCTCTGCAGATGATGCGAACAGTAGAACAATGATCATAGAAAAAAAAGAACCTCTTCATGCACTGTACTTGTTGGGTAACTTGTTTTTTTCTTGAGAAAAAACCTCGACTGGAATTCAAAGCGTCATGTGGATCAGTTAGAGATGGTGGTTTCTCGTTCCAGGGTGGGAAATAACCGGTCGGTCCTGTTGTTCGAGTGGCAGACTCAGTGAGCGACTCAGGAGGTGATTGATTTTAAAAAAAAAGGGCTGAAACTGTTGAATTTTAGAGGATTTGTTAGAATCTAATTGGCCTTACTGCAACCTGACTGCAGGTAAGCTGAAGCAAATGGAGTGAAGGGAAGCATAATGTTATATGAAGCCTCCACTAGTCAGAGATATGCAACAATAGATATGTAAGGACAAAGGTGCAAGTTGGTTTTTGTGCAATACTTTTAACAAGACAGTTAGATGCATTTTACAACATTATACCCAATAAAAGATGTAAGAGACACGAGCCAGCATAAAATTATTTGTAACCAGTAAAAAGTTGAATTCAAACAAAGCTAATGTTAACCTTAAGCAAAATAAAGTAGTTTTAAATGCAATTCAATAAAAACTGTAGGAAATAAGAGAAGCTAGAGTTGATGTCTGCAGCCAGTGAGTAGCGATTATACAACGTCCGTCTTATCACAGCTGAGGCACTAAAACCTTAGTTTTACAACTTCAACATCAAATAAAGACTAAAAATAGACCAAAGATAAAGTACAGTGGGTGCTAATCAAGTAATCAAAGATTACATATTAAATATTTATGGCATTATCAAATTAAAGACAATAAATAAATAAATAAGGCTATGTTTCTTCTGAAAGGTTTAAAAGTCCCAAACCAAAGAGATAAGAAAGCTCTGAGCCTGTAGACTGGCCATACAACTTAAACTGTTTATTACTGCAAGATGATTTGTCAAAACTGAAGCAACAGAGGCTGAAATATCATCAGTTTTAAGGCCATTCTGTGCATTTTGCCTCCATGTGTATCTGCATACGTCTGTAAGGGTTCACGTTGACCTCTTTACACACATGCAGCCCAAAATCTGTAACGGCATGTTCGAAATGCACTTCCTGACTGGGCATGAGCCAGGAAAAACACATGGTGTTCAATACAAGTAGGTGTGAGAGTCACCGTCTTCCACAGGTTTACAATTCATCATCACAAGAGGTGCAGCTGCTGCCGAAGTTTGTACGTGCTTTGATTTGTACGTGCTGTCCATCAACAGTGTGTGAAAACCCCGTGTTACAGTCGTCCACTAAGCTCAGCACACAGTGGAAATCACATCGGCTCATTGCTGCAGCCCCAACAGGAGCTACTTGATAGATCCTATAAGAAGCATAAAATCACAGCCTTTCAGAAAAAAAAAATCCTGTGTTGTTTTTGACGAGCAGTGTAATCATCATATGTCAGACAGCACATACCGACTGTACGAACAGAGTTGCTGTCCACTTTCAAAATTAGCATCAGCATGTGCACAGGAAGTGGCCTTGAGTCAGTGTAGGTGAAGGTCTGGGAAAGCCCGGATGCTATTTTCTAAAATGTATTTACAAGGTCTCTGCCTTGTAAATGGCCATGTTTTTCCAAAATCATCAGTGTTATCATTAGAGTTACTTTCTCAGCCTTTTAAAAGCTGCTTTAGACAAATGGTTTCTCCCCTTAATTATGTTGGATTTGATTTGTGTGGACTCCTGCAGGACTCGTGTTGTCCCATTAACATTGTGATTGTCAGCCTCGTGGCGCGTATTCACGTTCACTGTCCCCTCCATTGCAGGCCAGCGCTCAGAAAGAGCTGGAGGAGAGCTGGCAGGTCTACGCCGAGCTGCAGCGCCTGGTGGAGCAGAGTCAGGCCGAGCTGGTGGAGCTGATCGCCACGAGGCAGCGCGAGGCCGAACGTCACGCCCAGGAGCTGGCCAGAGGTCTGGAGAACGAGCTGAGCCAGCTGAGGAGGAGGAGCAGCGAGCTGGAGGCCCACGCTCAGACCCAGGACAAAGTGCTCTTCCTTCAGGTAGCGGAGACATGAAGCTGAGGGTCCAGCTTTATTGATAGTACAAAAAAGGTTCCTCATTAATGGTGATTGCTGTTGCCAGAGGTGGCTCATAGCATTTATCTGTCACTAAGTGATGCAAGGTTTAAGTTTCTGCTGCTGACTCCATCCTTCTCAGTTTCAGCTTTCATTTCTGTTGGACACATTTGTTGATCTGCAGTTTTTACCCACCAAACACTTCACATTTGAAAAGTTAGCTTCTCAACTTGTGCAAAAGAAAATGCAATTAAGACACAAAAATCCCCCCAATAACCTCCGTCTTAAAGGCTCCTGTCAGGCCTACAGATTAATACTGGGTGATCAGCGGGAAAAGAACAGATAAAGTAACCAGCATTCAGCTTCAACTCAGCCAAGTGTGATATTTTTTTGTGTGGATTTGTTTTGGAATATCTTGGATAAGCTTCCTCCACCCAGAACACCACACCAGATGGAGAAACTAACAGAAGTGCATCCTCAAATGGGGAGAAGGATAAAAATGGGTTTTCTAAAAAGGTCAGAGAGAGATTTGTCCCAACTACTGCCCACTGAATCAAGAAGGATAGAACCCAAGATTATGACCCACAACACAACTTATGAGGGAATTTTGCAAGAGGTGGTTTGGGGGGGAACAAAAAACAATAACTTAATTCACACATTCAGACACTCAAACTTCCCCAAGAAGGCCAGCTGATGGTGCTGAACCTTCTGATTCCCCCAAACTGAGCTGAGAGTCAAAGACCTCTTTATATAGTCTCCCAGCCAGGCTGATGACCAACAGCTGAGCTCTGCTTCACAGGTGCAGCAGATCTACCTGATGAGCAGGTGAGCCGTCACCTGGTTTCTGTTAAAAAAGATCAATTTAGGATTTTATCAGTTATTTGAGCTGATTTATTTTTTGGCTCTTTATGTGGATTTCATTGCTCGTGCAGTTATAGATCCACTGTAACTGCAGCGTTGCTTTATGGTCAGAGAAGTGTCATGTTTTAGAAGTGGAACCGCAAACTCACATGTGTTTCATCTTTTCTCATTTCTCAGAGAGCGTCTAGTAAGGACAATAGGTTCCACTTGTTTGTCAGTAGTTTTAACGTGACACTCAAACTGCAGTTTTAAATATGCATCCTCACTGGTTGTTGGTCCAGTGTGTGGCCTACATAGTCAGAGCAGCATTAATATGCATCTGGAGCAGAGCGAGGAAGTTTATTTGTTTGAAAGGCTAAAAACATGAGTGTCAGACGTACAGTAACGGAAATCTGAGCACATCCACCTTAACAGACTTTAATTATTTCACCAACCGGGCCCAAACAAACTATATTTTCAACGTATTTCTTTTCAAATTCTGCACATTCCACACACTCTTAATTGCAAAGCCAATTATGCAGAAGACCTCCATGTCTGCAGCAGCTGTTGTTGCTGAGAGATTTGAGAGACGACATCAAAAGCCTCCACCAGCAGTCGGCCTGTTACGCTCATTTCCCCCCTCGTGCATTCAATCTGAACTGTTTATGTGGATAAAATGCTGATTCTTTCATACATGAAACATGTCTTTGAAGTCGCTAGTTGAGATTTTTTCTATAAAAGGAAGCAAAGGCATGAAGCTTCCAATCAGTGTTTGGAGGAACAAAGCTGAGAGCAGGCGGATAAATACATCCACTGTTCTGGATCTCTTCTGGTAAACAGTAAATTTGCTCATCCGGACAATATCCTTGAACTCTTTTATATTTTCTGTCAAAGTGATCAAGTGTTCCTTCTCTGTTCTGCGTTATAAAACTCAAATTTAGCACCGCCTCTGTGTCTGACTCGACAAATCTGTATAAATCAGCAGGACAGCCTCCAACAAAGTCAGCAGCGTCGTATTTAGTGTGTTCTTTTCACCGCGCTGGCTTCATTTTCTCTGAGGGGTCATTAAAATTTCATTTCATCTTGCCTTGCGTAACCTTTTCTCTTGTGTTTTCCCTGAACCAGACGGCGCTTTCAGCCCCACCCGAGCCCACCGATTGGTCAGCGGTCAGCGTCAACACTGACCTCTACCTGGGAACCATCCGCTCCTCCGTCAGCAGCCTCATCGACAAGTTCCAGGAGGAGCTCAAGAGGCTGTACGGGAAAGGTGAGGGCGGCCCAGTTGGTCTCTTATGATATGATATGATACATCACTATAGTGCAGGGGTCTCGAACTCCGGTCCTCGAGGGCCGCAATCCTGCAAGTTTTAGATGTTTCCTTCTTCCAACACACCTGATTCATATGATCAGCTCATCATCAAGCTCTGCAGAAGCCTGATAACGATCCTGATCATTTGAATCAGGTGTGTTGGAAGAAGGAAACATCCAAAACTTGCAGGATTGCGGCCCTCGAGGACCGGAGTTCGAGACCCCTGCTATAGTACTTGTATGCAATTAGCAGTAAATATATTATATGCACATTTATTTGTGTACTAATTTAGTGAATGTGTGCAGTTTCTGAGATTAGCTGTCACCATATAATTACATTATATTTAAAGTGTAAAACTGATGCAGGGCTGATTCAGTTAAAAATAAACACCTCATGGTCAGACACACGGGCATCACAAAGCTATAATTTCACCAATCACAAAAAAAAGACCAAAAAAAGTTGAATTTCTTTGATTATTTTGCAAAAAAATAAAAAAATCAACATGTGCAACATTTTCCACGTGCGTCCAGGTGTTACCAGGACTTGGTAAATAAACGGTGGCTCTACATACTACAGATATTTAGCTATTTATATTTTTCATTCGTTCTCCTTCTTGCGTTCGGTGTAAACACAACCTGCAGTTCAGTCAAAAGGTCAGAATTTGTGTCACGTGACTGTCGATCCCGGCTGAGTCAGTCACGGTTCTTCTGTTGCGCTGAGGAGCACAAAATGTTTTGTTTTTAGCAGAATCTGGTTTTGGACAAATGGTACATTTTTAAATGAGACATGTAGAATGTGGGGATTTTATGACTTTGTTTTCTAATGGAACTGCTAATTAAAGATTCTTTCAGTTTGATGAATTGTGCGATTTCGGTGATTCCTTTAAAACATAACAAAGCCTGTTGGTGGATTTCAGGGTGTCGAGGTTTACACGTAAACACATAAATCCATAATTTACACGTTAGAGTCCAAAGATTACTCACAACTTTTTATATGACGTTTTTTGCAACGTAGATAAATGAACACGTCGTCATGTTTTATGTAATTTGTGCAACCATCAGCCTAATTCTGGTGCCCGTGTAGAACATTAATACAACATTACAGTAAAATCCATCCTCTCTCGTTTCATACCAACCACACGTTCTGTGCAAAAAATCCCAAAGCAGGAATATGCAGGTCACTGTACTAACAGTTTGGAATAGAAACGTGACTCATCGCTGCACCACACTCACACGTTCACACATACAAGATGGTTGGACAGATGGAGGGAGTGTTGATGCCGCAGTTCATCCACTTGGAATCAGTGCAGAGGCAGCTGAGTGACAGCAGCATGTGTCTTGAGCATTTACAGCTCTGGATTGGATCTGCGTGTTTACCACCCACACGTGCCATCTGCTTTGACTTTGACTTCTTAGCCGAATGACTTGTTGACTGAATCTCTTTCTTTCTTTCCCTCAGAGCTCCGAAAAGTGCAGAACTACTCGAGTGAGTAACACTTTGTCAGCTTGTCAGGATTTCCTGCACTCGTGTGTCTAACTTACATGTCAGTGGAGAGTTTTTGAGCATTTTGAGCAGAAGTTCTGGTAAATGTCCACTAGATGGAGCCACTTCTTCACAGCGTCAATCCACTGGCAGGCAGCCAGTTGAAAAACTCCCTGACACACACTTACATGAGCTCACATGTCCAGGCACAAGAAATCCATTAATGCAATCAAAAGCATTGTCTCTTAACATCTTATTCTGCTCGGTCCCGTCCAGGTGAGGTGATTCTGGATCCCTCCACAGCCCAGAAGAACCTGGTTGTGTCTGATGATGGTCAGCAGGTGAGATACGAAGAGCGTAAGACCTCCCACTCTGAGGGTCCCAAGCGCTTCAGCCCGGCCCTCTTCGTCCTGGGCAGGGAGGGTCTGAGCTCCGGGCGACACTACTGGGAGGTGGACGTGGGCCGCAAGATAGCCTGGACGCTGGGAGTGGCCCGAGCTTCAGCCCGCCGCAAGGGGGAGATCCGGCTGAGTCCTGATGGGGGGTACTGGTGCCTGTGGCTGAAGGGCGGCGAGGTGAAAGCTCTGGCTGCCTCCCGCCTGCCCCTCATGCTGCCGTCCCAACCCAGCAAAGTGGGAGTCTTCCTGGATTACGAAGCGGGCCAGATCTCCTTCTACGACGTGAAGGCCCGTCTGCATCTCTACACGTTCATGGATACGTTCAGCGAGAGCATCTATCCAATCTTCAGCCCCTGCCTCACCCAGGAGGGGAAGAACGCCTCCCCTCTGGTCATCAGCCACGTTAAACACAGCTGAAGCAGTCAGTGAACGTTTAGAACATCTCATGAGGTCTGATGGAAGCACAGACAGTCCTAACTTGTCTTGAGAGATGATACTTTTCTCCTGAGTGAACCAGTTTGAGGACGTTTTTTACATGTTTGCGAAGCATTTTACCTCAAATTACAACCACATCACATCAAAACAAATCACTTTGCACTCACTGCAACACTTCCTCATGATGCTAGGAGATGCTATGTTTGCTGAAATAAAAGCTTTAATGACGTGTTTTTGCAGTCTGGTTACTCAGATGTAGCCAACAGTTGTACATACAGTAAACAAGAAGGATCTTATCGTGTAAAAATATGTGAATTCTTCCAAAGGCCACATTGAAGCTCATGTTTTTACTGTTAGTGTCGCTCCCGGTTCAGCTGGACGTTTAAACAAAGCTGCACCTCTGGCACTTTCCTTACTGTGTAAGTCTTATTTAACTGCAACTAGAAGGCTTTGGACACTTTACATATTAAAGCAATGAAGTTAATAGATGTAAATTTTATGCCCAGAGGCTTGAAATGAAGATTTTTAGATGTTTGTAATGGGCATTATTTTTAAACAAGGATTGTTTAAGGGCCATGAACTCTGTTCTGTATTTTTTATATTGAATAATTGCCTTTGTACCATCTTTCTGAACTTGTCCAATAAAGATGATCAGACACAAAATATATCTCTGGGCTTTTGTTTTCATCTTGTTAAGGAATTTGTTTCTCACCCATCCCAGAGTTTGTCAGTAACAGTTAGGATTCAGTCAATTAAACTCCTCCTGCACTGATCGATGCTTTTATATTAACGAATCAAGTGACTGAAAATGAGGCAAATATTATAAAATAATGACAAACAATGAACTACAACTCTAAGCATTTATCTAAAATGTACTTTTCATATAATATTTGATCATTTCCTGTGTGAAGGGAGCACGTGACATGAACGCTGCTCTCTAATTGGTTCCCACGGCCCGATCACTTCCTCTTTTAATAAATGGCTCATCAATATGGCTTTCATCACTTACTTTATTTTATGCAACTAAACAGTTTAAGTCCTTCTCTTCCACACCCACTATTGGCACATTCACCAAATTTTAAAAGATTTTTTTTTTACATTGTTGATAATAAACCAAACATCAAAATCTAATTAAGAGCTACGAGTCTTTCCTCAAAGTTTATTAAATACCTGCAACACCAGATATTTATACATCAGGCATGTATAAATGAACAATATGGTCCCTCTGTGTCATATTTATGTGCAAAAAAAGCTTCCATTAAATGGGAATATAATAACATCTTGTTAAATGTAAAGCTGAAGCTAGTGGCATGTTAGCTTAGCTTAGCATAAAAATGGAAATGGAGAAACTCTGGCCTTCACCTGCCCAAAGGTAACTCAGTTTTAACACTTTGGGTTTAGTGCAGATTGTTGGTTAACAATACAGAGCATGTACGTTTGTGGCCTTGAGCCATTTCTTTTCTTCAAGTCAGCTGTTCCAAGCATTTATGCTAAGCTAGGCTAACAAGCTCCTAAATGAAATGAAATGAAAAGAAATGAAAAGAAATGAAATGAAAAATACTTTATTTATATTATTTATATACTTTATTAAATGCCTCCTAATGCAGATTAGATGCACACATTACATAAGAAAAAGCCTCTCACAAAATTCTAACATAATTGTTTGTTGGTGAAACTATCATTTCCACTAAAAACATTAAGAACCACAGAAGCAGAAACCAAACTGTCCTTCACAGTAATGTGGCTTCTGCAGAGTGGCCTGTTTGTGTTGTGTTGTCCAGCTCCTGCAGCAGGAGGACTGTCTGCGTCCTCAGTAGGGTTAAAGCCACGAGCAGGGGGCATAAATCTGTATCTGGGGTAAAAGGAGGGGGCGGAGGGGGGTATATTTTGGGCCTGAGGTGTGTGTGTTCATGCGGGGGGAGCTGGAGGTGGCAGCGCCTACAGCTTGTCTCATGTGTCAGTGTGCAGCCGAGTGTCGAGGCAGCTGCTCTCTGGTGAGTGTCCCCAGATCTCTGCTTTTTCTGTCTCTCCTGTGTTTTACTTTCTCTACTGTCACATCTGCTTCTCTGTGCACAAGCTCATCTCTTAGGGGAGTGTTGTTGGATGTTTTTTTTAAAATCCTGTTTGGCTGTTTCAGAGCTGTGACTTGAGCTAAGGACTTTTTTGTTTTTTTTTCCTGTTGCAGTCAGTTCACTGCAGATTCAAACACAAATTCAGGTCAGGACTGCAATCATAGCTACAAATGTGTAATTTATTGAGGCAATATGTGTTTACAAGACAGATTAAGCATGTAAGCACTGCAAGACAGGTCTCGTGCGAGACCAGTATTTTTAGAAAAATGTTAATCTGTCCTGTCATGAACAGCTAGGCCTCAAGCAGAGAGTTGCTTGTGTTAGAAGTCAAACTCGCTTACAGCTTCAGAGGCGCACTGCCTGCGTACCAGCATAGAAACCAGTGTGATATATTTAGTTTGAAGTGATGTGCAAATGTTTTCGTTGGAAAAGCAAAGAAGTTAAGAATTCAGCTTCACATGCTCATTTTAGTCGCTGACATGATGCTTTGAATTAAACTTACTGCAGATATATCGCTATTGATGAGTTTATCGTCTCGTAAAATTACAATATAGATATTTAAAAACATCGTCACCATTATAAAACTTGACCACTAGAGAGAACTAACTAGATATAAATAACTAGATTTTCTTTGCATATATTAGACTTTCATGTAGATTTTTTAAGCTTTCAAATATAGCAACAAAAAAAAGCTCAAAAAAACTAAAGCACAAGAAAAAGGAAAGTCTAACAACACTTCCCCAAGATTCACATTGGCTCATTTATCCCCCCACAAAGGAGAAAGTTTCATAAATCTAAACTTGTGGTGATAAATGAGTCCTGTCATGCCTTGCTTCGTAGATGTGCATGCTGATCACCCTAAATAAAGTCATGCCATCTAATCTTAGCGCCCTCAATATCACAGCAGGTTTGATGCCCCATTCAAAGGCTGGTTGCTTGCGCTGAAAATGACCCTGCCTCTCCGCCGTGCAGGAATGGCCTCCACTGGGAACCTTTCTGAAGAGCAGGTGCACTGCTCCATCTGCCTGGACGTCTTCACCAACCCCGTGTCCATCCCCTGCGGACACAACTTCTGCCAGAGCTGCATCCTGGGATACTGGAAAACCAGCCCTCTGTATCAGTGTCCCATGTGCAAGAAGTCCTTCTACAAAAGGCCCGACATCAGCGTCAACACTGTGCTGAGGGAAATCGCGGAGCAGTTCAAGGAGATCAGGGTTAAAAGCGTGGACGGGAAGGGGAGCAGGGACGAGAGAGAGGGGAGAGACAGCAAGTGGACAATGGAGAGAAAGAAAAAGGAGGATGAGGAGAGGCTTCTGGAGAAAGACCAGAAGCAGCAGCTCATGGAGGAGCTGAAGCAGAAGCAGGAGGAGGAGAGGAGGAAGAAAGAGGCGCTGAAGGAGAAACAAGCAGAGAAGAGGCCACTTCCAGAGGAGCTACCACCACTGCTCCCTAGAACCTCTCCTCCACCTTCGCCTCAGGACACACCTCTGTTTCTACCACCGCCAGCTCTTCCAGAAACCTCACCCCCACCCTCGCCTCACATCCCAGCGCCTTCTCTTCCTCCCACTTCACCTCCGCCCGCCTCCCTCCCGTCTCCTCCCTGGGGTGAGGTTCTGTGTGATGTTTGTCTGGGCGACGGCAGGCCGAAAGCAGTCAAGTCCTGCCTCGTGTGTCTGACCTCCTACTGCGAGGAGCATCTGAAATCCCACTCGGCCAGGTTCACCAAGCACAAGCTGATGGAGCCCGTGGCCAACATGGAGGACAGGATGTGTCCGAAGCACGAACGGCTCCTGGAGCTGTTCTGTAAGAAGGACCAGACTTGCGTGTGCGTCCTGTGCACTGAGACGGACCACCGGGCCCATTACACCGTCCCTGTGGAGAGGGAATGGACCGACAAGAAGGTGATTTGCTGTCATTTAAATCAATAGTGAAAAAGATTCTCTGGGGTCTCTCAAGGCAGAAATCTCATTGGTGGAGTTAAACCACAGTTGGAAGAATACCAGCTCTAATGCAGTCTCACACCAAATTCCTGTCACACAAGACATTCAAACTGATTTTAACACATTTTCACAGCGATTCCAGATTCTACAACCTTTGCTGAGACCATAAACAGCTGGCCCTACCAGACTATATAAGGTTGTAGCAGCAGGTTCCCTTGACTGTGTGACGCTGAGCAGAGAGTTTATGGCTTTATTACCCTGCTCAAGTAGTTATATAGTAACTGTAAGCAAACATGATGGAAAACATTCTGCGTAGAAAGTTTAATACAAAACATTTACTAGCAAAGTGCTGCTTGTACCAGTTCTTGAAAATGTTCCAGCTTCCGGTCTTCCTCAAAAGATGAAACAGGAGGTAGCTATGTCAAACTGAAGCAAAACAAACTAAGATACCTTGGTAGTTAGTCTACTACCGGAGAGTTGCTCATTTTTTGGTGATCTAGTGTTTTTGAAGTCAATACAGTTTGAGTCAAAACTTTCAGGGATTTGTTATAAAAACCAAAGTTCAGCGTGTGGATTTATTTTATAATGGAGCACAAAGTTCACCATCTACAGCTTATCAGTGCTTCTCTGGGTAATACATGACAACATAACATGATTGTAATCACATTACATTTGTCTGAGTCTTGTTCTCACCATGACATTTTCCTGTGAGGTCCCTCTTGGGCAACTGTTCCTGTTTGCTTTTTCTTCTCTCCTTATCAAGACAGGGATTTGTGTTCCTCCTTTACAGGATGTAACATTATATTGTTAACTGGCAGGTTCATGCTATTTGAAATCGTGTTGTACAGGCGCAGCTGAAAAGGACAGGAATAGACGTCCAGCAGATGATCCAGGACAGGGTGAAAAAGGTGGAGGAGATCAAGCACTCTGTGGAGCTCAACAAAGTGAGTCCACATGGGATCAGATACTCACACTAGAGATGCATTTACACACACACACAACATCATTCATTTAGTTTGTGTTTTCAGGCCAGTGCTAAAAGGGAGATCGAGGAGAGCATGCAGGTGTTCTCGGAGCTGGTGCGCTCCATCCAGAGGACTCAGGCCGAGCTGGTTCTGGTCATCGAGGAGAAGCAGAGGCAGACGGAGGGCTGGGCTGAAGGCCTCATCGCTGAGCTGGAGCAGGAGATCGCTGAGCTGAAGAGAAGGAACACAGACCTGGAAAACGTGGCCCGGACCGACCACATCCACTTCCTAAAGGTCAGAACATTTACAATATTCACGATAACTGTGGGTTTAATGCAAATTTGCCAGTTGAAGCTTTTATCCTGAAAGATTTTGAAGGTGAAGAATGATTGCAAAGAGCAGTGTTTATATTTTAAGGTACTGACATTTCTGTGAATATTTCTCTGTTTCCTGCAAGTTTTCATTTGCTGCTTTGCCCTGATTGCAAACAGGAGGATAACGTTAAACTTGTTCTAGTTTACATTTTGTATAACTCCATCTTTTCTTCCACCATCTGCGTTGGTGGGACATTCAGAGAGCTTATTCATTATTCTGTTATGATGCTGTAGCAACAGCGCCCTCTGTCTGTTTTGCACTGCAATGAAATCCAAACACATCACATCAAAAACACACGGAAGATTAGAGACACCAAATCCAATTATTTTGTTTAGTTTCTGAAGTGCAACTATACCTTAAAGTCTGTGGGATACCCGTTTGAAGAGGAGAAAAATCACTATAGGTTGCAAAACATGGGTTAAAAGATGGATGTTCTTAGCTGTTGAGTAACTTGTTTTTAAGTCGTCTTCATGCTGCGTCTCTCTGCAGAGCTTCCCAGCACTCAGCACTCCACCATCTGTTAAAGACTGGTCTGAGACCAGTGTTCCCACTGATGCCTGCGTGGGCATGATCAGGAGATCCGTGTCCAAACTGGAGGCAACGCTAAATGAAATGATTGACAAACTGTCCGAAAGCGGTAGGATTTCCTTTAAGATTTTAAAATGTTTCTGTCCATTCTGTTTTTTTAAAATTAAAGCATCTCCACACGACGAGGACGTATGTTAAGAGAATTTGTGTTTTTCCTTTTGCAGAGATCAAAAAAATTCAGAAATATACAGGTACAGTTTTCCTTTATTGAATTTGGTTTGTTTTTCAATCTTAAAACTGTCCAACAAAATGAACATCTCATGTGTCTCATGTGTCTGCAGTGGACGTCACTCTGGACCCAGACACCGCTAACCCCTGGCTGCAGCTGTCTCAGGACAGGCATCAGGTGAGACACCTGGGCGCCTGGCAGGACCTCCCAGACCACCCCGATCGATTCGACACAGTGGTCATAGTGCTGGGCCGCGAGGGCTTCACGTCAGGCAGACACTACTGGGAGGTCCAGGTGGGGGACAAGGACGACTGGTACCTGGGCGTGGCCAAGTCTTCTGTCAACAGAAAGGGCCGGCTCTCCGTGAGCACCACCCAAGGCTACTGGGCTCTGGCCATGAAGAAAGGCCAGGGGTACCGGGTGTCAACGTCCCCACCGTTACTGCTCGCCCTCGACCCGAAGCTCAAGAGAGTGGGCGTGTACGTGGACTACGAGGAAGGCCAAGTGTCGTTTTATGATGTGAAAGCTCGGACCCATATTTACACGTTCGAAGACACGTTTACAGAGAAGATTCTGCCCTTTTTCTACCTGTACTGCTGCGACAAAGCCTCTGATACCATCGTCATCTGTCCCGTGAATGAGAAAAGTCTGATCAAACAAAGCTAAGGACAAAACAACAATGAAAGGCCTTTGTGAAGTGAATAACAGACTGTACTTTGCTGTAGTCGAACCAGATTTTTATTGAAAATCTCTGTTCTGTGTATATGTATTGAACATAGCTAAATAAATAAGTCACTGCACACCTTATGTATGTATGGATGTATAAGATGTACACCAATAGGTGGAAGACAAAACCTCAAAGGGACAGTTAGCATTTTGATAAATAAGACTGTTTGCATTGTTTCAGAGAGTTTAATGAGAAGATTGGTAAGACTCTCAAGACTGTCCATCATATATGAAGCTAGCAGGTTGTTAGCTTAGCATAAGACACGGCGCGAGGGGAGACAGTTTGCCTGGTTCCACATCAAGGTTGCAAAATTGTACCAGAGTTTCTAAAGCTAAGGCTTAAAGGACTCATTTGACACTTTGGGACACTAGATCATTTGCTTTCTTGCTGAGAGTTTGACAAAAAGATCGATTTAACTCCCATACCAGTGTGCTAACAATACAGCTTCAGCTAAAGGCAGTTGGCTGCAATGGCAGCTTCTGAAGCAGGCCATTCCAGACGTCCCTCTCGCCAACAGCGTTTTCCGGTTCCTCCTGGGGGATCCCGAGGCGTTTCCAGGCCAGATGAGATATATAATCCCTCCAGCAGGTTCTGGGTCTACCCCAGAGTCCCCTTCCAGTTGGACACGCCTGGAAACCCTCGAATGGAAGGCCTCCAGAAGGCATCCTAATCAGATGCCCGAACCAAATCAGTTGGCTCCTATGATACGAGGGATCTATTCCAAGCTCACTCTGGATGTCCGATTTCCTCACCATGTCTCTAAGGCGGAGTCTGGCCACCCTGTGGAGGAATGTCGTTTTGGCTGCTTGTATTCACCACCTCATTCCTTCAGTCACTAGCCAGAGCTCCTGGTCATGGTTGAGGGATAGAGTGCAGATCGACTGATGAATCGACACTCAGTCTGGTATGAGGCCGGCTTTACTTGTGTAACTTTCCGTTTGTCCATCTGACACTACCTTTTCCATCACTTGTGAAAGATCCTGAGATACTTAAGCTTCCTCACTTGGGGCAGAAACTCCATCGGTTTCCTTTCCACACTGTATGCTAAAGCTAAGCTACCAGGCTGCAGCACTTTGCTGCACAGACACAAGCGCTGCTGAAAGTCTTCTCACATAACTTCTGGCAAGAATGCAAACATCTGTATTACCTAGAACGAGTGTTTCCTTTTAAATGCACGAGTCAAATCAAAGCAAAGTTTAGTTTCTACTCTTATTTTGTAACTGCATGTTGATATTTTTGTGTGGCTGATCCTGCAGAAGTTGTATGAGAAGTGTTTACAAGAATAAATTTCCTCTCAAATATGCACAAATGTCCCCATTGCTGGCTTCATGAATCAGACACTTCTAAGTTTCATTTTTAGTGAAGTGATGTAAGTTGACCACACCCACAGAAGTGACTGGAGCTCCCTCAGCTGCTCAGGCTGTGTTTTGATCGATCTCCATGTGAGAGACGAGTGCTGAATAGAGCTCAGCGCCTTCATCCCGGCCTGTGGTTCTGTCTGTGGGGGCAGTTCAGGCCTCTGGGGTTTGCAGAGCTACAGAGAGTCAGGTGAGCCAGACTTCTAACTTATACTGCTTTTTCTTTTTGCCTTTAAAACACAGAACAATGAGACTGTAATGCAGAATTAAAATGTGCAAGAGGATTCATGTGAATGTGAGTCATTGGGCGGGTCTGGATTCAGTTGGTAAACAGCCTAAAAATAGACTTGCAAATACCTTTCTAACTTTTTGGCCCTCTTGTGATGGAAAAACAAAAAGGAACGTCATACTGTATTTGATACGAAAAGCTTAAAATCTAAAGCATAATAATCGTTTTCTCCTACAGGTATCCCATCATGTCGGCTGTCAGCGTCCTGGCTGCGTTGCCGGAGGATCACTTCCAGTGTTCGATCTGTCTGAACGTCTTCACCGACCCGGTTACAACACCTTGTGGCCACAACTTCTGCAAAACCTGCCTCAGCCAGCACTGGGACAACAGCGAGTTATGTCACTGCCCCGTGTGTAATAAAAGGTTCTATGTGAAGCCTGAGTGCTCCACAAACACGGTCATCGCAGAGATTTCAGCCCAGATAAAGAGGAGGAAGGTGGAAACACTCGAAAATGCCGACGCACCGTGGAAGGTGAAGTGCGACGTGTGCAGAGAATTGAAGCTGAAGGCCTTGAAGTCGTGCCTGGTGTGTCTGACGTCGTACTGCGAGGCCCACCTGGAGCCTCACCTGACAGCTCCCCCGCTGATGAGACACAAGCTGATCGAGCCAGTGGAGAACCTGGACAAGAGGATGTGTAAGAAGCACGAGAAGATCCTGGAGTTTTTCTGCAGGGACGAACAGGTTTGCATCTGTCTGCTGTGCTGTGAGACGGACCACAAAGACCACAAGACGGTTCCTGTAGAGGATGAAGCGCCTCTGCAGAAGGTAACATATTTTATGATCATAACAGAACCTTAAATGAAAAATGACTCATTTAATCATATTTATTGTCTCAAAATTGTGTGTTTTAGGAAAATATTGAGTCCAAAAAAGCAACAGTCAAGCTGATGATCGAGGACAGGATGAAAAAGATAGAGGAATTTAAGTATTCCTCTGCAATGTGCAAAGTGAGTCTTAAAACCATGAAAAAAGACAAAAAAACAGTTAAATGTAAATCTGTGCTGATCACAAGTTTTTCTTTGTTACAGGACAAAACAGACAAAGAGATTGAAAGCAGTGATGCACTCTTCAGTTCCCTGATGAACAAAGTAGAAGACATGCAAACCAAACTGAAATCGAACATCAACGAAAAGCTCAGAAAGTCACAAGAGAAGGACGAAGCGATTATTCGAGAGCTGCACGAGGAGATCACACAGCTGCAGAGAAAGCACTCAGAGCTGGAGGAGCTATCGCAGAATGAAGACCACCTTCAACTTCTTCAGGTTAGTCAACGCCTACATGAGCCACATACACAATAAGGTGCAACAGATTCTTGTTTGTGCCATTTTGCATATTTTCCTCCCGCCCTCCCTGTCCCATCTGCTCCATGGTTTGGGTTTTTAAAGATTAAATATAGCTGCCACTCAGCATCATGTGCCTGTGAATCACTGCAGACTTTTCAGGCTCTGAGCTCCATTTCCGACACCAAGCGCTGGTCCACGATCAAGGTTTACTCAGACCTGTGTGTGCACACACTGAGGAGAGCCGTGAGTCATCTGGTGCACGCTTTTAAAGCAGAACTGAAGACTCTGACAGAAATCGGTACATATCTGCTGCTTTTGTTTCACTCACAAACACGTCTCTGTGTCACCAGTGGGCCATAACTGTGTTTTTATTCCTTACAGAACTGACCAAAATTAGGCAATATAAAGGTGAGATCATAGGTGCATTCAGTTTACAATTATTGCTCAAAAAAAAGAAGCTGTAACTAAGTTTTTTTTTGTTTTTTCTTCTTTAGAATCCATCTCCTTCAACCCGTCCACTGCTGGTTCCAACCTGGTGGTGATTGAATACGGGTCACGTCTGAAGTACTACGGAAATGCAAGCCCCTCATCATCTGACGACTCGGACAGGTTCAGCTATCCCATGGCTTTTGGGAAGAAGGGCTTCACCTCAGGACGACACTACTGGGAGGTCCAGGTGGGCCTGAGAACCAACTGGGATGTTGGTGTTGCCAAGGCAACAGTAGACAGATCAGGGAGGGCAGCTCTGACAAAGAAAAATGGATTCTTTGCCATAGGAAAGCGATGGCGTGCTTATCTAGCTCACTGTAATGAATCCAAAGAGCTCCACCTGCATCCCAGACCGAGGTATATCGGCGTTTATCTGGACTACGACGGGGGCAGAGTCTCGTTCTTTGATGTGAGTGAGAAGTTGCACATTTTCTCTTTTACAGGGGAGTCTTTCACACACAAGCTGTTCCCGTACTTCTACCTGTACAGTAAAGCAAAGAAACCCGAGTCTTTGCACATCTGTCACATCTGGGGTCCAGAACTATCCTCTGTCTCACTTATTCCCTCCAACAAGCCAAATAACAACCAGACAGTCTGAGATCGCTGTTTGGTCGAAGATAAAACCTTTCAAAACCTACTGCAATCACACAGATGCCTTTTGGAACAACTGATAAAGCGTCAACACATTCTGAAGTTACAATTATGAAATCAATAATTGACAGCTCACCCAGTCCTGCCCCTCTGTACTTCCTGTTGCTTCACCTATATTGCATGGCACATAATCATTTTACAGACTACGGCAGTAAATCCAGCAGAGAAACCTGTAAACACTGCCTTTAATTTAGGACTTGCAGGCTACAAACATGATCTCTTCCTAAAAGCTTGAGGGTAAAACTTCACTTCCCACCTGAAATGTTCACATTCTCACCAGCTGGTGATGGAACCGATGGGTTTACACTTAGAATGACAACAAACTCGCTCATGTATTATGTAGCACAACTTGAATAAAACATAAAGTCAGCGGCTTCAATCTGCTCGCTGCGTCCACACGGGCTGCGTTCAGGCGGAAGTGCAGCTCATTCGCTATTCAGCAGCACTCAGAGCTCAACACACTAGATTTGCACATAAAATGGAAACATGAAAATACACCAGACTGGAGAATAAAACAGGCGGCATCAGTTTAATGAGATGGACAACCGAACAAAACATGGCTGTCACGGAGGAATCAGGAAGTAGGACAGGAAGTGAAATGAATCGGCCGTACTTCAGGTGTAACACAGGCGGCTGGCAGGGTCTAACAAACAAAAATACACAACTGACTCCCACACATAGTGGAGTGTTGGTCTTTAAATTAACCTTTAACCCCTAAAAACTAAAAACAACAAACTCCTTGTTCTGCATTGTTTACAACTTACTCAAGAACAGAAAAACACTCTTTACTCTTTATTTCTTAGTTTTTTTTGGGATAAAAAGTTCAGCTTCTTTTTGTTTTTTCATGTTGTGAAACTTAAACATGTAGAGAGAACCAAGCTTGTACATAAGTTGCCATGATACGACTCCCCAGCAAGCAGGGAACGTTCCTACAACGTTGGCTAACATTACCTACAGGTTGTAATAAGGAAAGCATGTTATACTTGTGTTCAAAGAATGTTTTAAGGGTATTTCTTATTTCAAAATAATGCTCCTATGAGGTTAAAGGTTAACGAAGTGTTTTAACTGGAACGTTCAGGGAATGTTGGAAAGATGTCAGATTGTGTTCCTGAACCAACATTAAAAAAATGTTTTTAAGATGTTATTGAAGATGTTTTTGTTGTTTGTTTTTTTTAAATAAAATGTTCCTGTAAGATTACATTAACAACAGTTTCAAAGTTTTGCCTGCAATATTTTGAGACTGTTTTGGGAATGTTGTTGGGTAAACACTTTATGCAACATTCCCACAATGTTGCACGATAACCAAGGACAAACGGTCTCAGAAAATGTTTTGAGTAGAACGTCTTTTGTGAGCTGTATTCTGCCTTCATGAGGAACACTTTGGAAACATCACTAGAACTATCTCAGAACGTTTTTAGAACAAAACAAGTCGAGCTGGGTCGACGGTGGCGGTTCAGTGAGAGTTTAAGTCAACAGTTTATTCAGATCTTTAACTGGCATCAACACAAACTAATGAAAACGAATGCAAAGAAGTGAGCAGGTGGAGGTGGAATCATTTACTGTTTGTTACTGATTATTCTGCAAAGCTGCTGTAATGTCTAAAAAAAGCTGGATGACTGTGTGTGTTTGCATGTTTGCTAAAAATAAACCATTAAACGCGCATTTGTTGAAATTTTTTTTTAAAGCTTTGGCTAACTTTACAGCGAAAACTTGACCTTTGATGCTTCTGGGACTTCAGCAGACATAAGTGGGTTTATGAGCATCCAGGAAATGACAGCAGGGCCGCCCTCTTTCCCAGCAGCCATAGGTGTGTCTGAACCTATTTAAAAGAGGGAGCAGCTGATAAGACTGTCACTCAACACTGTTACAGCCTCAGGAAGCACACGCTGGTAGCTGCTACAGTAAGTAGGTCTGATGTTTTCACTTGAACGTTCTGTGATTGTTGCAGTTGAATCCTGTTCATGTGCCAGATTGTGTGACGATAATGTTGACGTTTGTTAGAGTTTGTTTATTATTATTGTTATTGTGGGTGATCGAAGTTATGAATGAACTATCAGAAATTCAGGACATCCAGACAGACATGGTAAAAGACAAATCCACACATTTTGCTCTAAACACTGCATGTCAGTCTAACACATTTAGTTAATCTTTTACTACCATCACAGAGAATGCTCTGCTCTGATTGGCTGGAGGACGTGCATTGTTTTGAAACGATCACATGGCTGTGACGCAGGATCCTCCACTGTGGCGGGAAATGACGGGAACAGCCACAGATTATTCACTCCAGGTGTGCTGTGGCGCCTCACACCTGCTCTGACTGGGGTGCTCAGAGCGAAACCGAAACAGCTGCATGTTGAAACAGCTCACATGAATACGGACCAAATATGGTGTCGATTACGCTAAACAGAATCTCGTGACTCAGTTGGTTGTTTAAAAAACACATACCAACGCTCTTAATGCTCGCGTCATGTATTGCCACAAACATACTGGCCTTCCGCGTTCAGTCAGTTTATCTTACTGTCATGTAAACAAGAAGACGTCTCGTGCTGGCTTCATGGAGGCAACTGAACTTTAATGGTTTGCAGTCAGTGTCTATAGAACCTTCAGAGAGTCTTCAGTGTAAGTAGAACTTATTTATTTGACTAATCACACTTGTGCTGTGTGTTACGAGGCCTGTGTCTGTGTCAACATGCTACTGCTGCATCATGTTTCGTTGCTCTGACACCAGCTCCAGCACAGTGATGGGATTTCCTAGTAGTGATTTAATTTCTGCTGCGCGGCTCATTTAACAGTATCAGGTTGTTTTAAAGCGCCATGCCATCACCTCTTTCACTGATATTATATAATGTAGCGTCTGGGAGATTGAGCAAGCTGGGATCCATATGTGTAATCGTGAGGGTGGAGCTGAACAACAAGGGAAACGTTGTGATGCACTGTGATGGGCAGGGCTTCTGGTGTTGACCTGCTACGTCACTGCACAATGAGAGATTATTTGTCTCTGCATCATGCGATGAGTCACTGTTGTGAGTGAATGAACATTTGATGAGCGAGCAGCTTGTTTTGTGTGATCCCTTTGGTCAAACTCAGGTTAAATATCTATCACACGCTGTTTTGTGTACCATACTCCTGGTAAGCAGCTAAGGCAGCACCAGAAACTATATATTATACATGTTTATTTCCCTGTTTCCTCTACAGATAGACTGTATTAGCCAGTCAGTGGATCCATCATCTGCTTTCCCACTGAGTCAGACCACAGCTTGTCTGTGCAAGCACATGCAAAGTTTTGATGTGATGTCAGAGCCTCTCAAGTGCTGCATCTGCCTGGATGACTTCACCAGGCCTGCGTCCCTCCCCTGTGGACACTGCTTCTGTCTGGGATGTATCGGAGAATACTGGAGGATCCTGAAGGCCTATCGGTGCCCCCTCTGCAAGGCCCTCTTCCCCACCAGGCCACAGCTCAAAACAGACCAAACGCCGCAGCCTCAGAACGCAGCTTCTCCTTTAAAAGCTGGAGAGGTTCCCTGTGATTTCTGCCCCGCAAAGCGTCCAGCAGTCAAGTCCTGCCTGGTGTGTCTGGCTTCGTACTGCGACGCCCATCTGGAACCGCATTACCAGAGCGAAGATCTTGGGCGCCATCTTCTGATCAGCGTGGTGAAGAACCTGGAGGACTCCGTGTGCAGGCTGCACGGGAAGCGGCTGGAGAGCTTCTGCAGCAGTGACCGGGCGTGCATCTGTGCCATGTGTGCCCAGACGGAGCACAGGGGCCACCACATCATCTCCATCAAGAGAGAGGCCGCGAAGAAGAAGGTAAGGCCGAGAAAGAGCGTCTCATGGGGAACATTAGTGAGTCTGTCTCGTCACTGTGAAGACAGATCCAGTGTCAGAACAGAATGCAGATGCCAGATAATCCCAATTACAATACTGTAGATGCTAAACAATAACATCCTGTGTAGAGAGGGTTTGTAATGATTCTTTATAAAAGGTGGTGAAAAATGTTCTTGTACTTCTGTTGATGTTTTTTTCGGGCTCATTGGGGCGTTAAAGTTTACAACAGCTTCCACTGGCACACTGTGTTTGGCCACTTCAGTGAAATGAAAGAAGCAAAAGGATGTGAGGGGAGGAGGGGGGGAAATATAAACTTTATGTGTATGAAAATAAGCTACAACCCTGGAGAGAACATCTGGTTTTGATTCTAAGAAATGAGCAAAAACCGCTGATATGACCTTTCAACATTATTCCCATTTCATCACATATTTACACAAAAACCCTCCGATGATTAGACAAAGATCCCGATTACAAAAACAGACACGAAGCAAGTTTGAAGACGCAATAACTGACTCAGAAGCTTTCATGCACGCGGGTCAAAGATTTCAGAATCTCAAAGACGACCAGAGCAGGACAAGTCTCTGGTTTCTTGTTTTGTGTGTCTGACATGCCGACATGCTGTTTTTCTGCAGAGCATAATAAGACGGAGAAGCCTGAAAGTGCAGCGAGCCATTCAAGAGCGACAGAGTGAAGTTGAGAAGATAAAACACTCAGACCTCAGCGTGCAAGACAAAGAGCCCATTAAGCAGCTGCAAGAAGAAATCGCTGAGCTGCAGGAGAGGAACACTGAGCTGCAGCAGCTCTCACAGACCGAAGACAACCTGCACTTGGTACAGGTCTGCATCATCAATCAGTCTATCAAATTTTCTACATTAATTTAAACCTCTAAACTCAAAGCAGTTTCTTTGTAAGAAAAGCAAACATGCCTTTTGAACCCACCGGGGAGCTTTGTGGTTCAGAGGTTTAACAAGCGCTCACAACATTGCACAACAGCCACTGATGTTTTAATGCCGCCTCTCTTTCCTCTGCAGAGATTCCTGCACACGGCCTTATGACGGGACCGACACAACTCACAGGAGCAACAGAACAAAGTCATTTTATTCTTCAGTAGTCGTGCACAGCAGCATATTTAGTTTGCTTTAAACGGACGTTGTAAAGCTTCTTGTGGAGCGTTCAATGAGACAATCCACATCGCTTGTACATGTTTCCATTCAATAGATTGATTATAGATGGACGGATAAGGTACTGATATCATTTAACTCTTACTAGAAAGTGAATTCATACTTTTTCTATTGTCTAGTCCTTGTTGAACTGTAAAAGCTGTAAAAAAACAACAACAATTCTCTGGAGAAAAAAAGGATTAATGAGCATTTATCCAGTAAATCTGAAACCAGCTGAACTTGATGGTATGAATGTAACTTATTCCTGAGTGGATGATGTGACGAACGGTGCTTCAGTGTTGAAAAGGTTTTTGATTGTCTGAATAAAAGCAAAATGAATTCCTGTATTTATACATGTGAAAAGTGCATTCATGAGTAAACCCGACATGAAATCAACGGTTTTGCTTCCTTTGAGTCGTGCTTTTGGCTTATTAGCTAATTACAAAAGATTCCCAGCTGAACAGGTTAAACACTGGGTAATAAACCAGCCGATAATCACCAGTGTGTTCCAACAAAAACCTTCTGGCAAGTCAAATGTTTGATCTGTGTCAGCCTGCCCTACACGCAAAACAGCCTGCAGCCAGTAAACACATGATTTGTTTACTCATTTGCCAGCGGACGAGCCTCTTGATTTAAAAGGACGGGCCACGATGGGCTTTTGAGCAGAAATGAAACTTACGAGAGGGAGGAAGTCCTAAAGGAAGCATTTAAAGGGAAAGAAAGGTGGGAGTAGACAGAGAAGAAGGCAGACGTCCGTGAGAGAGAGAGCATCGCGACAGCTCAGAGGTAAGACTTCACTTTTAGGCATTTTAGAATCACAGTGTTTTAAATAGTCTTCTTTTAAAGGGACTGACAAGAAATTATAAACATAACATGCAGTTTACAGTTCTGTTTAAGCTGCCTGCTGATGGGATTCACTGACCAACAATATAATAATATGATCACAGTCAATGATCATACATGTTTTAGACTATTTTTATTATTTTTGGGACAATCTTAATAATAAATATTCCATAAGTTTCTGATGTTGTAACACCTGCTCATCTCAGGCTTTGGGTGTGTCACGATGAATCCCTTCGGACTGCAACACAGTGTGATGTATGTGCTCACTGGTTTTCATTTCTAGGAAGGAAAGAAATTAGGATTTTGTAGTTTATTGTAGATTTGCATATAAAAATTGTATATTTTAGTTTTTTTCTTGCCCATGAAACACAATCTTGAACGATCTAAAACAATGAATAAACTCTTGTAGAAATTATCGAATTTGATCGAATTAAAATCAACCAAACTTTAATTGCAAACCTTTTTTTGTTTATGCAGCTTAGTGGCGTTTAAAATACTTTGCAGTATTGACTGATCAGCTGATAATAAAAAAAAGCTTTCCACACCTCTGGAACCAAATAACATCTTACTTCTATTGCTTGGAACACAAGAAAGCAGTACGACAGAGTTGCGACGTATAACCCATCGCTCTACATGTCACCCATGAGACTGGGTGTGGCATATTGGTTTAGATTAACTGCAGGTTCGAAGACATTGCAGATTTTAAAGCTCAGCAAAGCTTTTAAAACAACCCCTCCGAACTTCAATTCAGGCAGGCACGTCACACAAATTGTCAAAATGACATTTTATCATAGCCGGAAGCCACTTGGTCTGGTTTGGCTGATAACGTCTGAGGTTATTTTTAGATGGCTGACTCTATCCTAAAGAGTGAGCTCAAAAACTGGTCTTTTTTCCTTCTTCACTAATCTCTGCAAGTCTACTTTCACTTAGTTCACTTAACATTTGATCTACTACAGACTAAGACGCGTAACTGCCGTGATTTCCGGCTGATAGAGACAAACTTTATTGATCCCACAGTGGGGAAGGTTCCCCGTTACAACAGCTCCAAAAAGAAGAAGTGTAAAGTCAGTGCAAGAATAATTTAGAAAACCTTATATACAGAGGAGGATATTTTAGGAAGACTAGATACACACAATGAAGCAGTAACAGTTAAGCTCTGTGGTTCTGTCTTGAAGCAAAAATGGCCCCTACGATTGGATCGCCCTGCCAACCCTCCGCACTGGAGAAGCATCTAACCTGCTCCATCTGCATGAAGGCCTTCAGGGATCCCGTCACTACAGCCTGTGGTCACTCCTTCTGCAAAAACTGTCTTCGCTGCAGTTTTCAGTACCATGACAGGGCGTGCCCGCTGTGCAAGACGCATCTGAGCAAAGCCCCTTGTGTCAACATCGTCCTGAGAGACCTCGTCAAGATGATGAAGAAGGAGAACGGCGAGGTGGCGACAGCCGACGAAGTGGCCTGTGATGTTTGCATAGAGAAGAAGCGGAGGGCCAAGAAGTCCTGCCTGGTGTGCCTGGCCTCGTACTGCGCCATCCACGTGAAGAGTCACTATTCGACTAAACGGCTGAGGGGCCACAAGCTGGTGGAACCTGTGGAGGATCTGGATGAGAGGGCCTGTTTGAAGCACGGACGCCCTCTGGAGCTGTTCAGCAGGAGGCAGCAGACATGCATCTGTGTTCGATGCATGGAAGCAAATCAGCCGGAGGTCGTCTCCACCGAAGACGAATGGGACAACAAGATGGTGAATGAACATTTGAAGGCGCTTTAATGTTTGATTTGAAGTCTTAACAGTGGTGGAGCTACTTTAACCTGCTACGGTATCTTGATCACATATGATGGAAATTTGTCCACTTTTATATCACAGTGAATGGAAAGAACAATGTTTGATGTTTGCTTTTTGTCTACACCAGACTGAAGTCGACAGCAACAAGGCAGAGCTGAAAGAGAAAATCAAACAGAGAAAAACAAAGTTGGATGAGATCACTCTGGCCCTAGAAAACTGCAAGGTAAGCAGCAAGAGAGACAAGATATCCTGGATTCAGCCACTCTGTTGAATAACTATGTGGTAACTTACATGTCTTCTAAAGTCTCCCTAAAATCAGTCAGGTGATATATCAAGAATGTTTATTTGCAACTGACTGAACAGCAAATCTGTTCCAGGAATTTAACTTTGAAATGTTCCAGATCAAGTTATCGCAGTTTCAAAAAAAATAAAAAGATGTTTCCTGTTGCAACATTTCTGCAAGTGTTGAAATCAAGTCAGAGTACAACCTGCAAGACAATAAAGATAAGCTGGAAAGGCAATGATGGTTTTGTCCCCATTTTCAGGACCAGCTGCAGAGGGAGTGGTGCGACATCGAGGCCGTGTTCACTGCTGTGCTCGCCATCGTGGAGGAAGCCCAGGCCACGGTGCTGCAGCCGCTCAAGGACCGGAGGCAGGTTCTGGAGAAGGAAGCAAAATTCCTCAAAGACGAGTTGGAAGCTGAGATCAACAAACTGCAGATGACCATCTTAGAGCTGGACGATATATCTGCACTTGAGGATCACATCCTTTTCCTGCAGGTGAGATCTCAGTTTACGACAAAGAGAAAATGTGCATCACTAGATCTTCTTCTCGCTGTTGGTTTATCTCTCCATCACCTTTCTGTGTCTCAGAGTTATCCATCGATGCAAGACCTGAACAACATCACCGACTGTTCACATGTAGAGCTCGACACATCTCTGTCCTTTGGCAACATGAGAAAAACCACAACAGTGATGATGCAACAAATCCAACAGGAGCTGGAGAAGCTGTCCTCCGTCGGTAAGAGTCGACCCAGTGAAAGTTAAAAGCTAAGATGTTGACGCAGTGGATCTAAAACTCTTCTTTTCTTCACAGAGCTGAAGAGAATCCCAAAGTTTGCAGGTATGTTGTATATCTCACTTGCCCCTAACAGTATATATGTATATATATAAAACAAAAGGCTTAATCATGGATGTTTTAAAAATCTGTGACAGTGGATGTGAAGCTGGATCCGGCTACAGCGCACAGACGCCTCGTCGTCTCTGAAGATGGCAAACAGGTGAAAGACGGAGGAAAGGACCAGAAAGTAGCCAACGCCCCCGAGAGGTTCGATCTGTTCGGCGGCATCCTGGGCGTCGACAGCTTCAGCTCCGGGAGGTCCTACTGGGAGGTGGAGGTCACCAACAAGACCGGCTGGGATCTGGGTGTAGCGAGGGGCGACGCCAACCGAAAGGGCAGACTCAGGCTGAACCCAGATGACGGGTACTGGGTCACTGCGCTCTACGACGATGAAAAGTTTGCCGCCCTGACAGCACCACCACGTCGCCTGTCCCTGGAAGAGAAGCCGGAGAAGGTGGGGGTGTTTGTTGACTACGACGAAGGTCTCGTCTCCTTCTACGATGTCAATGCTCAGTCTCACATCTACTCCTTCACCGAGTGTTCGTTCAAAGATGAGCTTTACCCATATTTTAGTCCTCATGCCAAACTAGATGAGAAGAACGCCGAGCCTTTGGTCATATCTGCTGGGAGTCTGTGTGAGCAGGACGAGGCTCAGCCATGAGATGTGTGTATTTGTGCTGCAGCTTTGTACATCATCGATTCCTTTCCTCGTGTCTTAGTCTCTGTCAGATGAACAAAACTGTGTTCACTACAGCTTGTAGCATATATTTAAAATTCAATCCACAACCTGCAATAATGTGATGACGTTTCCTCCACCTAGAACTCCACACAAGATCTGCTGTAAATGGGGAAACTAACAAAGCTGCTCACCCAGAACGGGGATAAGAGTAAAAATGGTTTTTGTCCCGACTACCACCCACTGAATCTATCAAAAGGATAGAACTAAAGATTATGACCCACAACACAACTTATGAGGGAGTCACTAGTTTTGTGAGGGATGGTTTGAAAAAAAAAAAAGAAAAGAAAAACTTAATTCCAACATTCAGACACTCAAACAAGAAAATCCACCCGATGAGCAGGTGAGCTTAAAAACACAGCTATCCATAACAATGTACAGCTGTCCCTTTAGTTTTTATTTAACACCCGGGTGTGACACACAAACGAGTACTATACATATAAATAGTGACAGATTAGGTGATATATATCGTATACAACATATGTGTTAGACTTCCTAAAGGCTTAAATCCTGTAACTGAATGTTGGTTATGAAGCAACACCATCGATGTCAGACTGTAATCTGAACACACTGAAGCTTCAACACTGCAGGTCAATGCATTCATGGGTTTTTCCATAGTTACACCATATTTTATGAGCAAATAGAACTTTATGATTTCACTAGATTCAGATTTAAGGGACTTTGTTTATTTTTGTGACACTTTATATATTTGCATTTATCTGCACTTCAGAAATGTGCCTTAAACACGCTGCTTCTGTCTTTAACTGGTTTCATTTCTGTTTAAATAATACTGTGGGTTTGAATGGGATTGTGTCACTTTAGAGGCAATATTTTCAGAATTTTGATTTTAGTAATGTGAGTTATTGTAGTATTTGAGAGACATGTTTGTGTGCTTTTGCTCTTAACAGTAATCAACAATACAGTTTAACACGATGTAGTCACATTTAACACAGCGTTGAACATCTACAGCGGTAAACACGCTTAATGCAGCAGTGACATTCATAAAAACATCTTAAAATACGAACAGGGAACATTTTGTTGAAGAACATGTACTTTTTCCTTTAATAGTTAAAGATAAGATAAGATAAGATATGCCTTTATTTATCTCACAGTGGAGAAATTCACGTTGTTGGTAGCAGCATTAACACAGAGATACACATATATGAGAGAGAGAGAGAAAAAAAAAGCATACTGAAACTTAAACTTTATAAAATAGTCTTTTAACAGGTTGGCAATTGTACTTTTACTTTAGTTTCTGGGTTATTATTCTACTACTGCAAGCAATGATGGAACTGAAAACTGACTGCAGGCTTGTTAATGGGAAATTCACCTTATGTACTTTAGCATCATTGACATGATCTGAGTGTAAAGTCTAGTTGTGGTGTCGCCTGTTTCAGTTCCATCGCTGTTACTTTTCAATCTGAAAATTGTCAGATGTTTTTTGGGATAGTTTTATGAATAAAAATAACTTAAAAAAAAAAAACATCTTGGAGTGTCGTTCATGGTTTCACGTTGACCAGATTTGTGTTTCACAACAACTAGAGGCTGACTCACGCCTGTGGTTAGCGGCTTTTATTCCAGCAGAATCGAAACCAATAGAGACTTTTTTTTTTTACCTTCGACATAACAGCAGCAGAGAGGAAATATTTTTGGCGGCAGAGAGGCAACAGAACACGGAACAAGACAAGACTGGAAGGTAAGCAACACGTTCCACACCCAGTGGTTTCTGTGTTCTCGTTAATTCTAACGAACACGCTGAATGCAGTTTGTCAGGTCTGTTTGATTACATGATGATGGAAAAGAGCCTTTAAAGAGTCGTACCAGCTGCAGCGGTGTCTCACAACCGCATTACAGTTTTTCTCAGTCGCTTTGGTTCATTTCTCAGATCAGAATTGAAATTCTCAAAACTTCCAGTCGTCACATCGTTGTGTCACTTGTGCACATCAAAAAAGTTGTGAGTGTTTAAGTTGTGAATGCTTTGGTACATCCATGCAAATGATTGTGTAGAATTCTCTGCTGTTGTCGATTGCTTATGTCACGCTGATCAACATGTATTATGACGGGTCTCTGTTGAATAGTCTCACCCCCACAGCATTTAGGCGTTAGTTCATCGTTTAAGTCTTTACATGCAAAACGGTTGAACAAGTTTCTTTACAATTACGTTAGACTTTTTTCCCCCCTAAATCTGTCCTGAATTGGTCAGTTGCTCCCAGGTGAGTCCTGACTTTCTCTCATGAAGGGAAATGTGTGGAGCATCACATACATCAACCAGTTTTCTGAAATAGCTCAAAGGTGCATCTTATGAACCATCACCAGGCAAGTATATAGTAGACTGCACTGTAACTCCTACAGAACTGCAGTTTTCCCCCCAGGAGACTGTCCTGTGTTCACATTTCTACTTTCCTCTATGGAAATATGCAGTGCTGTCTTTTCCTGACCTTTTCTTAACCCTCTGTCAACAAATTACAGCACAAACAGCAAAAGCCTAAATGTGAATCTTGTCCAGTCTCTTGCAATCAATCTCCCACATACACGAAGGTGTAACTCACAATTTACAATAATCGTCATCAAAACTTTAGCCATAGTTTACATCAGAACATCCCTCCAGAGTTCACCGTTATACTGACAACATGACTAAACAACGTGACTGATTTATGCGTACACACCGACACAAGGACTTCATTCTTCACTGTGATGCCACTGACATGTTCATTGACACTGATATTTAGTCTTGAGAGATGAACTAAGGATTTTGAGCACCTAACTGCCTTTTGCAGGTAATCCATGGTGTTTTAGTACGAATTCTTTAGAGCAGGGGTGTCAAACTCTGGCCCGTGCGTCAAATCTGGCCTGCTTTGTAATTATATTTGGCCCGCGAGACAATACCAAATGACTACTAGAGCTGCCCCCGATATTATACTGTACAGCACATTCACCGCTAATACTACAAATCCCATAATGCCCTGTTGTTGTTTTGACACGTCGATCAGGACAGGACCCAGAAACTCCCTCTCCTCTGTGACAGTAGGCATAGCGACTTCACACTACAACTGTGCCATTGATGTGTTTTTGTATTTATAATTGGATTTTGCATGTCTCCACTATTAAGTTATATATAATGTATGGGAATATTCAATGTTAAAGCAAAATTAGTTTCGGTCCATATTAAAAGGTTCATTTGTTCAATGTTGGCCCGCGACTTTGTTCAGGTTTTAAATTTTGGCCCACTGTGTTTTTGAGATTGACACCCCTGGTTTAGAGGAAGGCACTTTCTGTTTTGCAAATGTCCAGGATGATTCGAGAAATGTACCAAAGCGACTGAGAAAAACTGTAAAAAAGCATCGACCTAAAAACCCAATACAGACGCTTTTGTTCATTTTTTTGTTGTTGTTTAGTGAGTAATGTACGCAGCACCTATTAATTAGGACTCTTTCATGAGCAGCTTTTATAACTTCATCAAGTCTCTGGACTGCTCTCACACATAGATGATGTAATCTGTTAACTGTCAAATGATTTTTAATTCTACCACCTTAAAGTAATTCATTTTTTTTCTAAGTTATACATGATGTCAAAGTGCTGCAAGCGTTTGTGCAACACTTGTGAAGGAGTTTAGTGCAAATCCAGGCCCCAAAGTAAAAACACAGTGCCAACAAAAGCAAACACACCTGTGATTTCTAAACCGCCTAACTGCACGATTAGGGTTATTAAAATGCCTTGTTAACACCGGAACTCTGTGTTTTGGACTCGTGGGCTGTGGCTTTCTGCATGTCACAGCTCCACATGGAAAACAGTTACCGGAGAGTTTAAAGAAATGTGATTGTTAGACTCCTCAGATAGAAAGTGATACGGGAGGATGAGTGACTAAAGTTAAATCAGTGCCAACACAGCTGCAGCAGTAATGAGGAAACATAGAAGGAAGCGCGGTACCACTAATCAGAGCTGCAGTGATTGTCCTCATAAAACGATGCCACAGGCAGTGAGCTACTTGCACAATCAGACAGCGTGAAGAAAGATGCATAACGCAACCTCTGTGGATGGTGTTCAAGAAGAAAAAAAAAAAAAGGGCCTCTGGTTGCTCTTAAGCACAAAAATGCAAACTGAAACTTTGCCAACGAGAAGATAACAGTATTGGAACGGTCTTTGATCAGATCTCAGGAAAGTAAAACAGTAAAATACTCAAAGGCTCTTGTTTATCCTCACATGTGAGCACTATAAATGTAGCTTCTCAAAAGTCTGAGGCTCATTTTTAGAGCAAGGTGCACGAACATCCTCTGTATCGGCAGTAACACGTTCTGTCAGGGGAACAGGAAACAAAACTAGCAGCAACCACAGAGCACGACAATGTTTGCAGAAATGAGCCTCCAGGTTTGCCAGTGCTGCGGCTGGTCCAAAGTGACGTCCTACCACGGCCTGAGAACTCACCAGGGCATGAACGGATGCACGCCCAAGGGTCTGAGGATGGCCGAGTCGGACCAGCAGCACATGTGGCTGTTTGTGGGAGCGTCAAGCACTCAAGCAGACATCAAGCTGGATGTCCGCACCTCCATCAAGACTGGTGGGTTTTTCTTTGTTTCAGACAGATGATTTATTACATGTTGTGCTCGTTAGTCAACATCCTTTCATCTACAAATCAGGAAGGCGAGATCAGTGGAATAAGACGAGCAAAACATCAGCTGGCTTTAAGAATCCTTTAAATTCAAAAATGCATTGTGTCTCCAACAGACACAGCAGAATACTATTCAGACTTGAGCCTCCAGGTTTGTCACTGCGGATGGACAAAAATGACGACTTATCAGGGCCTGAGAATTCATCAGGGGAAGAAGGGATGCACAGCGAAGGGAGGGAAGGTCCCAAAGAAAGAGCAGTACGACTGGAACAATCCGTACGAAGCAGAGGTGGATCACAGAAAACATGTGCCAGCTGAGAGAGTCGTCATCAAGAAGGAGGTACTGTGCAAAAAACCTCAGATCTCCCCATGTGTGATCAGGTCTTTGGACTTAAATCAAGATGGTTTCGTTGTTTCTGGTCTAAATGTATTATCTCCTGCTTTCTGATTTAATTTGTCACGTGGCTTGTCTTGATAAGCTGCTTTGTCTTTTAGTTATTTATTGTGCTTTCAACTTTCCTCCTTAACCCGACAGAATTTGCCACCGAGGAGGAGCAGCAGCAGCGTCTCAGCAGCCACCACAGTCAAGCAGGAAGACATGTCACGTAAGTACAGGATTACAACTCAGACTAAGGGAGAGTTTGTGTAAGAAGCTAAAGCTGGAATCGTCTCTCACTGCAGCTTCTGCACGACGCTCCTCCCAGAGAGCCCTGAAGTCAAGCCAGCGGCGGCAGCAGATCTCCAGCCTCCTGCAGGTGAAGCAGATTCAGGAGGAGCTGAACTTGTCTGGCAGCAAAGTGAGCACAAAAAGTAACATGAATGGAAAAATGATCTTTCAGGTGAACAGGCCAGTGAGGGAGCATCCAGCATCGACGGTAGGACACTGGAGCATCGACGGCTACACTGACTATACAGCAAGACCAGTCAAGGAGGAGCCCAAATCACGTCTGTACAAACTGAATTATTAATGACAAGGTTTGGTAAATTAGTCGGAAAAGTTCAGCTAAAATGCTTGAAAATCTTTTATTCCAGCATTTGCAGCTCCACAACAGTCTCTCCAAAGAACCACGAGGCAGCTGCAGGATTTCCCTACAGATGTGCAGGTAGAGCCCATTTGTTGAAATGACTTTACTCTGAAATGGCACCACTATGTACACACATAATACAATATATATATAAATATCTGTTGTGTCTGTCAGATGACTAGAAACATCAGGGAACCTCCAACCCTGGTACCAGCAGTCCGGCCTAAGCAGAATCACAAGGAGGGTCAAACATCGTCACAGGTACTAAAGTCCTAAATGTTTAACACTCTGTACCACAATTTACTTCCAATAAGTTTTCATTAAATGCTAAACTGGCAGAATGTGGTAAAAACACACTGCATTTTTTTTCAATGTAAATTTAATCGACATCCTTCAGGTGAGGGAGCATCCAGCACCAACAGACCTGGGAGATGTAGTCCGACCTAAAGAGAAAAAACTACAGAATCAAACATTCTCACGGGTACTTTACTTCTTTTTAACCTTGTGTTTTAAATTGCATTTTTTTTAAAAAGCGCTTTAGTGACTTTTTGTCCTCATTAGAATACAGACAGTCGAGCAGTGGACGAATACTGGAGCCTTAAAAGCTGCATCGACAATGAAACCACAGCGGCTGCACTCAGGGAGAAGCCCAGATTACGTATGTGCAGTTTATTCAGGATGAGATTTTGCAGATCAGTTGGAAAAATTAAGGAACTGTGGTTAGTAATCTGTTTAAATTCTTGCATTTGCAGCTTCACAACCATCTTTCCAAAGAGTCACAAAGTCTGGACACAAGCTGCAGGATTTCTCCAATGATGAGCAGGTAGAGGAGAGATTTGTTAAAATTCACCACTTTAATTTTAAAAGAGAAATCTTATTCTGGTGTGTCTTTCAGATGACTAGAAATCTCAAAGAACCTCCAAATGCTCCACCCCTTGTACCAACAGTTCAACCTCCTGAGAACAAGAAGACAGAGACACAGGTACAACTCGTTTTCACTGATTTTTCTATCTTTAAAAACTCTGCAGATTGTGACACACCACTGTTAAAAAGTAAAATTCAATATGTGTTGAACATCTCTCAGGTGAACGGATCAGTCAGGGAGCATCCAAAAACTCCACCTCCGGTCCTGCCTAAGAAGAAGGAAACACAAGAGAGATTTAAATCTGAATTCCAGCGAAAACTTCACATGAAAGAGGACAAACTAAATGACACCAGACCAGCGGAGCCCATCTGTGAGGTGATGCTCTGCACGGTCTAGTCAGAATTAATAATAAGAAAGAATACCGAATGTTAAACCACTTGGAAAACATTCTGTTCTCAGATATCAGCTCAGAGTGTCGAAGATGCAACAGGTGCCAACAACCAATCAGCTCCTGCAGCAGCAGAAGTCTCAGCAAAGAAAGAGCCGACATCATGTAAGCAGCAGAACGGCTCATTCAAAACTGGAAATAGATAAATAATCAATAAAATAAGACGTTACTCTTTGTTTTGTACAGCGGATGATGCTGCACAGCCGGATTTCTCCTCTGGCATGAAGGTACAGTAAACTCCTGAGTGACAAGTCGTTGAGCAAAACCAATCTCTCCTCATCATAACTGCAACGAGCCTCTCTTCACTGAGTGTTCAACATGTTTCAGGTGAAGGAACTGGCCCGCATGTTTTCAGCTACCACAGACCAGGAAGCAAAGAACAAAGGACAGGAACAAAAAACCCCACAGGTAGCAGATCCTTTAAAAGTGTACGATTTGCTTCATGATTTGTTGCTTTATGTTTTGACAAGTGATGAAAAAATACAAGTATTATTTGATGAATGTATTCCAGGCGAAGCCACTGGCTCCAAAGTTTTCAGTCTTTGCTGAGACAGACGCAGCAGTTCAACCAAAGGAGAAAGACAAGGAAGTAGTGTCACAGGTACATTATTGGTGCTTCTATAGTCTTAAAATCATCAGTAGAAATGTTTGCTATCTAATACTTCAGCAGGTATTGACTGGATTCACTCAAATGTTTAGTAGACGTTTGTTCTCGGAGGATAAATCGTACTGTTGCTTTGTAAGATTAAACTGCAGTGACTCAGTTTTCAGCTTGTCCAGTGCTACGATGTCAGATAGGAGAAAACAATGAGGGTGGAGCTGTACCAGCATCTGAAAAACAAACCACGGCAACGCCACCTGGGGACCACAGTGTTAAATTTAAACCACCACCACATTAACACACAAGCTCATTAACTGAGAGAAGACAGAGACGTGGTCCAAATCAAAAGAAATTACATTTATTGAATAATTGATGGGATGAGTGATTGGACTCCTGCAGACAGAGTAACCGAAAACAAATCAAACCAGTGAAAATGCACACAAATATTTCTTTCATTAATTTAATTCTATTTAATACAATTTAAAAAAGAAACCCTTCCAGAATAAAATTAGCCCAGGGAGAGGAAAGTGGATGGAAGCCAGCAGGGAGGAAGTGGTCGATTGCTTAAGTGTCCTCAGAGCACCACAAACCACCAACCACCACAACAACTGCTGAACCAGCGTAAGATCGGTTGCCCTAATGCTCTTACACGAGAACGCCTAACCTCCACCACCACCAGCCGGCAACCTCGTCCACTAAAGATAATGATTATTTCAAAACCAGTTGGCTCAATCTAAAAGGCCGACTCAGCCAAACTAAGACAAACAAACACAAACCAGCAGCAGCAGCCGATAAAACCCTGGATATAACCGTCCTGGTTGTGCAGACTTGAGGGGAATCAGCAGCATGCACATCACACCAAGGCAGGTACCATTCAAACCTCAGCCAGACAGACACCAATATGAGGCCAACAAAAGACCGTCAAACGAATGCACGTCATCATCATGTGCATACGAATGAAGAAACCCTTAAAACAATCCTGATTACAACACTTACTTCAGAGTCACATGTGGCACCCAAGCAGAGACCAAAGGTGGCCATGAGGCCACAGGTGCTTTAAATACCCTTGATCAGGGGCAGGGCCGTGGGAGGAGTCCACCTCATTCACCGATGGTGTGTTCAAGAGCTGTCTGGAAATACCAAATTTGCTCGGAAACTGTTTATTTTATTTATTTATTTATTTTTACAGCTTTCTTAGTAACTAAATGATCTTGAACACAGTCAGCAAATTAACTGACTGCTAAGATATCAAACCCAAATGGATATCAAATAAAATGAATCTTCGACCAAATTAAATGGTAACATGAATCCAAATTCCAGAGCATATCACAATAAAATCATCCACAGATGTATTTAGTATTAAAATGAATGGAAACTAACTTTATAATGAGTCATATAAACTCTGTTTTTCACACCTTTACCTGTCCACCTTTAATGTGTCAGAACAAGAGCATCAACTCTGCAACAGCAGCCGCCGTCACAGAGGAGCCCAAACCATGTAAGATTAGAATAATTCACTCCCAATCTGAAATCTGAAAGCCAGCTGATCACGTTCTCTCCCGACAGCGACGCAAAGCGCTTTGAAAAAAGCCACAAACTTACAAGGAGACCTTCAGCTGCAGGTACAGCATCAACCTGTGAAGTCTCCCTTTTCTACACATGCAGCCTCTTGTCACACACTTTCTAAATGTATTAAGTTTATTGTTAATTGAATCATCATCTTTCAGGTGAATGGATCAGTCAAGGAGCCAAAAACTCCACCTCCAGTCCTGCCTAAGAAGAAGGACTCGCTCACTTTCAAAGCGAAGCAAGAGAGATTTAAATCTGAACCACAGCAAAAACTTCACCTGAGGGAAGGAAGGATGAGTGAAACCAGACCAGCAGAGACAGTCTGTGAGGTAAACAGCAACATTTAAGTCCATCCATCCGTTATCTATACACCGCTTAATCCTCATTAGGGTCGCATGGGGGCTGGAGTCTATCCCAGCTGGCTTAGGGTGAAGGCAGGGAACATTTAAGTTTTTTTTTTATTATTATTATTTTGGATTTACTCTTTTTGATTCATCAAATTCCAGATTAGATGGATGCTTTGTTTTGTTTTTTTTGACAGAAAGTTGCAGATCCAGCAAGTACCAACACCCAAGCATCAGCAAAGGAGCCTCCAACATCATGTATGTCGTAGAACGGCTCATTAAACACTGAAATCTGCTAAATAATCAATAAAATAAGACGTTACTCTTGTTGTTTTTTTTACAGCTGCACAGCCGGATTTCTCCTCTGGCATGAAGGTACGATAAACTCCTGAATAGCTGAGAGACAAGTGGTTGAGCAACGAGCCTCTCTTCACTGAGTGTTCAACATGTTTCAGGTGAAGGAACTGGCCC